CCATTAAAAAGTGGTCCAAATGGCCAGGTGGTCATAACTTAAGAATCCTGTCTATGATGATCATCTACTGTATCCACATAGACTCATCCTCCCATGGCAGGGGCAGCGGCTCCGAATTCCTTCTCCACCCCTACCCCTGCCGTATAACATGGCATCTTCTACTCTACGACCCGATTCCAGGGACACGCTCTCAGCCAATCACGTATCACAGAGAAAATCTTCAACGCACTTTACATTAATATTTATGAGATGCGCTAGCTATCGGAACCAATCATGTCGGCTATTCAGTGACAAATAAAAACAAACATGGCGTCGTCTCGGGAAGATAACTTTTGCGATGCAGGCCGCTGCGGGCGTCGGCGGGGCGCTAGCGTGTGCTGGAGGCTGCGCGCGGATCCCGCCGAGCACGGGGAAGGTGTTAACTCGGTGACTTTGCCCCGCACGGCCTCCCCAACGCGTTAACGGGCTCGTCACCGGGCGGCGGCGGAGTCGCCGGCGGGGAGGGTGACGTCCCTTCGCCGCCCAAGTCAGAAATGGGGTCATGCCAAATAAGGCAAGCTCATGAATATTAATATTCCTCGGGTCGTAGAGTAGAAGATGCCATGTTATACGGCAGGGGTAGGGGTGGAGAAGGAATTCGGAGCCGCTGCCCCTGCCATGGGAGGATGCATAGACTAAATTTGATCAGTCCCCTGAGTGGTCTTCTTTGGCAAATTTTACTATAAACTGAAAGTTATTGTACAGATGCATGTGACAACATTGTCATTGATTCCATACAGAAAATGTTAAGCCAACCTGACATCCCAGCCCCAAACACACAGGACAAGGATAACCTGACCTTGAAACTGGAGAAGTTTGTCCTTCACCAGCACCAGAATGACCTTGTAGACGTTCTATTAGAGGAGGATGACAACGCTCACTATGCAGTGGTTGTAAATGCAATGACTTTGTTTGACACGACAGACATGACGGTAAGTGTGTTTGTTTACTGGAAATCACCATAAGTACATGTAATACAAAATACTGGGGTATGCATATTCTTCCTGGAGTCCTTACTTAATCATTTACAAAAATACATACATTGGAAGTTACAATAAACTAATAACTTAAGTTACAATTAAAATACAAGGAAAATAGTAGATTTTGTACCTCCGGGTATTGTAATGTATGTTGCAGAATGTTGGGTGCATGTTGGGACTGTTCTTTAAATTAGTGAATGGTATCTGGGTGTGTGTGTGTTCACGCGAATACCATTTTTTCGAAAAGTTTCGAAATGTTTGTAATTGGCTAAATGATCTGTGAAATCACTAATCCCCCCTAGCCGACTGGAGCCCAAAAATAGAAAGGACAGGGGGCATCCCGTGGCGAATCTGGCTGCCCGACCCTCAGCGACCAGCGATAATGTAAACAAACACCTACACAAACGGCCGCGTGAGAAATCAACTCCATTGCGCGGAACTTGCTCTCGAAAATTTATCAAGCCGCTACACTTCCCCCCGCGGCTGCCATCCCTCCCCACTTATCCCACACTAGTTCAAATCGCGTCAAAAAAACCCACATCAAAACTATGCACAGAAGCGTGTTCATATCTTTCATGTTACGGTTAAAACTTAGAACCTCATTTTGAGCGAACGTTACAAACACGAGACAAAATAATATTTTCGAAAACAAATCGCAATCAGCAAGGTTTCATTCCTGTTTCATTCATCAAAAGTTCTTGTCGATTGTAAAATGATCACTCATCTGTTGTCTCCTCTAGTGTGTCATTTGTGGCGTAATCACGGCGTGCCAAAAAAATCAGTCGAAACTATGAAAATTCCGGGATAAAAAATTGGCAAAAACGTGTTCTCCACATCGCTGTACAAAACCATTTTGATATGTAAATAGCAGCGCGCGATCTACACTTTCATTGGTTCACCTCACATGACCTGCGTTTCGATTGGATAAGCGATATCGTGCCGGCAGAGTGACAGAATTTCTTTATCAGCGAAGAGGCACATTTTCGCTGCTTTCTACGTTTTTTCTACGACTACTAAGCAACATCCTATCAAAAAAGGGTGATTAGACTCAAAGAATTTTCGGGACAATTTCTATGCGCCCTTTTTGATGTTCGAGCCAGATAAAAATAACCCGTGGTACCCGGAAGTCAGCGTACCGAGCTGGATTTCCATGGGTCCCGTCTACCCCAACGCGAGATACAACTGCGATAGTATTTCTTTCTTCGATACCTGACACCCCCTCTTACCAGATGTGGACGACGCCTGCGACACTTAATACACGCCGAAAATCAACAGACAAAACCACTTTCACACACAAGGGGTGTCCATACGCTCTCAAAACGCATCATTTTCACGCTTCCATCTGTGCCATGTGGAAGCCAAGTTCTTTGCTGTTAGATCAAGGAAACCTGGCGGTTTCAGGCCTGGTGAGCTGGCTTACGCCATTGTTTACAAGCTGTCAAGCTCAGCTGTACTAAGTGGACACTAAATGGTGCTTGATGGATGCTTCCCTTCTAGCACCTTTGACCTGGTCAGATCCTGTCCTCCTACTTAGCACCTTGACGTTTCTGGGACAGGCCTAGGTTGCAAGACTCCTCTGGGAGGACTGGCTAGACTAAGGAATGTGGTACGAGCTCGACACTCACAGTTCCTCTAGACTTTTCCTCTCTTCTCTTCCCTCTTTTTCATGACCTGCGTTCCCTAAAGATTGGAGGGATGCAAATATATGCGCCATCTTTAAAAAAGGAGATAGAGCGGTCCCCAGCAACTACAGACCTGTTTCACTGACCTGCATATCCTGCAAACTACTTGAACATATCATCCATAGCCAAATCATGAAGCACCTAGAAAGTTACAGTATATTAACGGATTACCAGCATGGATTCAGAGCCAAACGATCCACAGAAACACAGCTTATACTAACAGTCCATGATATAGCTGGCGCACTAAACAGTAAACGGCAGGTAGATTTAGCAATACTTGATTTCACTAAAGCCTTTGATAAAGTCCCCCATGGCAGGCTCATCTCAAAACTGGAGTATTATGGAATCCAAGGCCCTACGCTGAATTGGTTAAAGGCTTTCCTGACCAACAGGGAGCAAACAGTAGTAGTTGAAGGGAAGGCGTCGGCTCCAGTTAAAGTAGCGTCTGGGGTCCCTCAAGGAACCGTCCTGGGGCCATTGCTCTTTCTCTTGTATATAAATGACCTACCAGATCAGCTTGACTCAAATGTGAGGTTATTTGCCGATGACTGTCTATTGTATGTAGAGCTTTCTACACAGACCGACTCACAACTTCTCCAAAAAGACCTGAACACCCTGGAAGAATGGCAAAGCAAATGGCTCATGCAGTTTAATCCCGAAAAATGCTACATTATGCACATAACAAACAAACGAACACCACATGCAACTAGCTACCAGTTTTGTGGTCAGGCTTTAGCAACCACAAAAATCCATCCGTATCTGGGCGTCACGCTGACAAGCGGACTGAAGTGGGGTGCACATGTTAATAATATCACAACTAAGGCGAAACAGACATTGGGAGTGATTAAACGTAATCTGTGGGCATGTCCAACGAGAGTAAAATCACTTGCATACACGTCACTTGTAAGACCGAACCTAGAATACGCTGCGACAGTATGGGATCCATATACAAAGAAAGACAAAGACAAATTGGAAAGGGTACAGAATCAAGCTGCAAGATTCTGTATGAACAACTATGTAAGAGGTGCTAGTGTCACGGAAATGAAAAGAAACCTACAGTGGACCTCACTTGAAGACAGAAGAAAGATGTCTAGACTATGCATGATGTACAAAATGACTAATAAACTGGTGGATGTCCCAACTACTAAGTACCTAATACCAGCTCAGAAGAGAACAAGAAATAGCCACGCATTCAAGTACCAGAGTTATCAACCAAGGATTGAGGTGTTCAAGAATTCATTCTTTCCTAGAACTATCGCAGAGTGGAACTCACTGTCACCAAGTACAGTAGGGGCACTGTCAATAGATAGCTTTAAACAATGTCTAGAGCTAGAAGTTCAAGGGTTAGGTGTAACAAGTCGATCGGTGTAATATAGCCAGCTGCCGCCGCGCCGCGTGCCTGCGAAGCTGGTGTGTTACGCCGAAGGGCGGTTATACCGGCTATATAGATACAGATACAGATACAGATTGGATAAGCGATATCGAGCCGGCAGCGCGATAGAATTTCTTTATCAGCGAATAGGCACATTTTCGCTGCTTTCTACGTTTTTTCTACGACTACTAAGCAACATCCTATAAAAAAAAGGGTGATTAGACTCTAAAAGAATTTTCGGGACAATTTCTATGCGCCCTTTTTGATGTTCGAGCCAGATAAAAATAACCCGTGGTACCCGGAAGTCAGCGTACCGAGCTGGATTTCCATGGGTCCCGTCTACCCCAACGCGAGATACAACTGCGATAATATTTTTCCTCGATACCTGACACCCCTCTCACCAGATGTGGACGACGCCTGCAACACTTAATACACGCCGAAAATCAGAAGACAGAACCACTTTCACACACAAGGGGTGTCCATACGCTCTCAAAACGCATCATTTTGACGCACTAAAACACACATACTAAAAAACCAAAACAACGTGCACCATCTACAGCCCAACAGCAAAACGTATACCAAGTCCCAGACATATCCGTCCACCCAAACGCGAGAAACGGCTGCGAACGCAATTTTCGTCTTCCCTCACAAAACCTCCGCGCTCGGGATATACATCCCTACCCGGAGGTAACAAGTACATGTACTTCTTAATATATATGATGATGAAAATCATCTTCAGGAAAACAAACTAACATAAGATGAAATGTAGCAGAGATGTCAGAGGTATAAACATCATGTATTTTTACCACCATGTGTCTGGATGATATCCTGTACGCTTGTGTATTTTTGTTTTTGTTTGTATTTTGTTTTGTTTTGAAATGTTCCTGTGCTTGATGATGTGGTATGAATAGGTCAGTGATGCACTACTCCACCATCCTCGGGAGGTGCTGCCTCAGTTTGACGCTGCGCTGGTCCGAGCTGCCAGGACTGTGTACCACGACCATGCACGCAAAGGTCAGGCTTATCAGGACCACAAACATCCTGGTACACTTTCTTATTGGTGTAGAGAAATTGAAATCTTTTAGAAAGGCAAGAGATAGCAGACTTCACCCTTTTACATACATGTAGGTCAGAAACACACAGACATACAGACAGTACCCAGTGCTTCACTTCGATGAGTTCTGTTGTGATTATTCAAACTGAGGAGTAGATTAAGTAGTTCTGAAAAAGTCTCAACAACCCTGACCCTAATCATAAGACCACCATGGCACTTTCTTTGCTATAAAGACCAATGGTCTAACCATTTAACAACCCCGTTCCTTCCAGATGATATGGTGCTGAAGCCCCACCTTCATGCCCGTATCTCAGGACTGCCAGTGTGTCCAGAGCTGTACCGCACTACCCTACCACAGACTACAGACATCGGCAGTCTCCTCTCTGTACAAGGTAACTGGCACTGCAGTATTTATTAAGGCCACAACAAGTAGATTTTCTAGATGGCGTCTCTGCACACATTGATTTTCACTCGATTTCAAGGAAAAAGCAGAAATTTTGTCCATGTTTTTTCCTAGGGACAGTTATTCGCACCTCTCCAGTGCGAGTGTTGGAGGATGAGCGTGACTATCAGTGCAACAAGTGTCACCACGTGTTCACAGTTAGAGCAGACTTACAACAGTACTATACAGGTAACATGACAACAATACTATGGCAAGCACTATACATGTATACTATACAGGTAACTTACAGCTTCAAATATGGTGCATATGCGCCTTTGTGCACCCAAATTTGGAACAGTACTATACAGTCAGGTAACACCTGACAAAACTAGGGCAAACACTTTATACATACACATGTCACTACTCAGGCTTGTTGAGATAAACATAGTATACATGTCATAATGTTAGCTGTGCTTAAACTCTTGTTTTTGTACCTGTACCTGCACCTGGACATGTGTTTAGTTACACATCCTGCCTGAGTTCTGGGTTTGTTCTCTTGCAGGCAGCAAGCCCCAGAGCTGTCCTAACCCAGACGGCTGTGACTCCACCCGTCTGCTGTGCCTCACAGACAGCTCAGCAGCACCCTCCAGCTGCAGGGACTACCAGGAACTTAAGGTGCAGGAGCAGGTAAGACACTGCAATGTTTTCAACACATCGAGTCTTAAGGGTATACAAATATGCATCTACATGTATTTTCAAGTTGGACATCTTAGTGGAATGGAAAAAATGTATTTTCCATGTAGCTCTTACATGTATGAATTTTTCTACTTCATTGGAACTGATAGGGTAATGTTGGGAAGTTAGTTACAGGTATTATGAAATTTTGGTATCTGTCAAAAATGTTTGGTATCTGTCAAAAAGCAAGATTTCCCATTTGGCTTCTCCTCTCTCCCATCCCAGGTGGAGAGACTTGCTGTTGGCAACATTCCCCGCTCCATGGCTGTGGTTCTGGAGGATGATCTTGTTGACTGCTGTAAGCCAGGTGAGAAACATTCCTGTGCAGGGTATTTCCCAGCCCTAGATTTCCTGTTATCTTATCAAACACATGCCAACTTCCTATTGACATTTTTGTTTTGACAAATTTGCTCAGTACCAATATGTTTCTGTACAAAATTTTGAAACGATTGAATGATCTTGATTTTTTTTTGCCATACTTCATCGGTATCTTTGAGTTCTCCCAAAATTTGTCAGTTAATCTAGAACTACTACAATGTTTGTCCAATAGGTGATGACATCACTATCACAGCGATTGTACTTCAGCGCTGGAAGTCCCTCTACCCAGACCAGCGCCCAGAAATACAGATGGTTCTGAAAGCCAACCATCTCCAGGTGGGAAGTGAAGTTACACTGCCTCACATAGTTCTTATGTAGTTGTCAACCTTACTTTTAGGTGTCAAGTGGATGATTCAATTTGGTAGTTTCTTAAGTCCCCAAATATTTACTTTTAGTCCACATCCTTAAAGAAACAACTTCCTATGTACATACAAAGGTATTAGATTCTATGATGCTGAATTTCTGTGTTTGACCGCAGGTGAATAATGACCGCAGTTCTCACCTGAGCATCACAGAGGAAGTACGGCAGCAGTTCACGGACTTCTGGGAAAAATACCATGATGCTCCACTGCAGGGCAGGAACATCATACTGGCTTCCCTCTGTCCTCAGGTGAACTTAACTTTTACTACATATGCTAATAAGTTGGCTCAAGAAATGTGAAAAAATGGCAAGAAAGATCATACTTTTGTAGGCTTGACATTGTTGATTGTTCTTGTGTTTTTCACCGTTTTTCCCTTTTTTTATCTTTGAACAACAGGTTTTTGGTTTGTATGTGGTGAAGCTGGCTGTAGGACTGGTAATGGCAGGAGGAGTCCAACAAGTTGATGATTCTGGTAGGAAAGTTTATTTATTTGGTGTGTTACACCGCAGGACAGTTATACTGGCTATGTTGATACAGATACAGATTGTTTGGTTGATGTAGATACAGCTAACGTTGGAGTAACACAATAACATATATATAGGATGCCAAGTGGAGAATACATTACTTTACATCATGACATAAATATACACAATTTATTGCAATGATTAAAGTATATTCATAAACAACAGTTCACGACCTCATACCTTCGCCAAATGGTGTTACAGGTACAAAAGTCCGTGGCGAATCTCACCTCCTTCTTGTGGGTGATCCTGGCACCGGGAAGTCCCAGTTCCTAAAATACGCCGCGAAGATCACTCCACGTTCTGTACTCACCACGGGAATCGGGTCTACGAGCGCTGGTCTCACCGTCGCAGCTGTAAGGGACTCAGGAGAATGGCAGCTGGAGGCAGGGGCACTGGTGCTGGCAGATGGAGGTTTGTTTGTTTACTATATGTTTGTTTTGCATAACTAGTAAACCGCCTATAAGCATAACAGACCAGTTTTGTAAGTAAGTACAAGCTTAAGGAGGGTAAGACCACACTGTAAGGTTTGAACCACTCACACCAGTATGGACCCCTAATCTTACCCCGGGTATCTATTAACATGCTTGAGGTGTGGCTCTCCTCAGTCATGTACCTGAGCTTAATGAGAGAACGTCCCAAACTGAAATTATGCACACGTACTCATTTTCACCTGAGTCAAGTGAGGGAATAGGAAGTGCCTTTCCCAAGGGCACAAGACTGGGGCTTGAAAGGGATTCACACCCACAACCATTAGATTCTATAGAGTCAAAAACCCTAACCACAAGACTACTTTGTCACCTTCAGGTTTATGTGCAATTGATGAGTTCAACAGCATTAGAGAACATGATCGTGCATCGATCCACGAGGCCATGGAGCAGCAGACTATCAGTGTGGCCAAAGCAGGCCTTGTCTGTAAGCTGAACACAAGGAGTACAATCCTGGCTGCCTGTAACCCGAAGGGGAAATACGACCCAGCTGAATCCATCAGTGTTAATGTCGCTATTGCAAGTCCTCTGCTCAGCAGGTAAGCAGGTCAGATGCAGCAAGAGATAAAAAATTTTGTTTTGAATTTTAGACTGGACAAAATTGTTGCCTCTTATATTGTTAATCATAGATTTCATTTTTGATCAGACGATTTTTGTCAGCTCTGATAAAATAAAAGTAATCATGACCCTGCCCAATAGTAGATGTTGTAGTCCATGGTACTGAAAGTATAGATGGTGTAACAGTTATCAAACAAAAGTGACATGATGGAACAAGAATGTGTGTCATTCATAAAATTTAGTTGCTTTGGCCTAATGCATAATTTCTTTTTTTATGTTGCAGGTTTGATCTTGTTCTTGTTCTTCTGGACACCTGCAATGAAGGCTGGGACCGCATGGTGTCCTCGTATATCCTGGATGGGAAAGGGCTGGGAGATTCCATTCGGGACGGAGAGGAGGGGGGAGAGAACAGCGAGCTGTGGACCATGGAAACAATGCAGTTGTACTTCCGACTCATTAAAACTCTACGGCCACAGATGACTGAAGAGTCTATCCTCGTGCTCAAAAAGTAAAGATTTCAGTAATCAAAGACACTTGACCAAAATCTTCAGGTTTTTTTCAAACATGAAGGAACAATTAAAGGTTTACATTGTCACTGATGTAGAGCAGATCAAACCGGGCATTTGTAGACATGTTTTTTTTTTCATTTCAAACTGATGTCAAAAGTTTTGCTATAAAAATTTACAATGTTTCTGCTGTCTTTAGCTTGAAAGTTATCTGTGTTGGTAGAAGTCAAGCGAACTGTGATTTCCAACACAAAAATTGGACTTCATCAAGGAATGAGCAATCCACTGCTTTTGTAAGATCACGTTATGCAGATAGGACACATTACAGTTCAGCTTCAGTTTATACTGTTTGTTTTATCCCTTTAGGTACTACCAGCGACAGCGTCAGGCCGATCAGATGAACTCGGCCCGTACAACCATCCGTCTACTGGAGAGTTTAGTGCGGCTGGCCCAGGCACACGCTCGTATCATGATGCACCAGGAGGTCAGAGTTCAGGACGCGGTGGTTGCCGTGACGCTGATGGAATGTTCCATGCAGGGGGCGGCGCTGTTTGGAGGGGTGAACGCCATGCACACGTCATTTCCCGAGAACCCCCAGGAGGAGTATGGCACGCAGGCTGACATGATCCTGGCAGAACTGGGGCTGTCACATCTAACACACGGGCAGCACAGTCAGCAGCAGCACATGGAAGTTTACTGACCCTGGGAAAGGGAACTCGAGGCAGCTAAGCTTAGTGAACTCAATGAACAGTTAAGCTGCTCCTCCATTGGTCATGACAAAGACTGATACATGTACTAAGTACATTCTCTTGATCCAGACACAGAGTCACCAAGTACAGGACTGCGCGCACTTGTGACCTTGGACTTTTAAAAAGTCAGGAATATTATCTCCCTTGATATTTTATGACGGCAGAAATATGTAGTTTTCTTATAAATTATGTCTAGATGAAGTATTTTTCTTTTTCCATGCTTTTTAACAACAATCATGGTAAGAAAAACTTGTTTAGATTCAGACATTCAGTCATTCCATTGGTGAAATTATTGCTTTTTTTCAATGTAGGCGCATTAACCTTGCTGCTACTGAACCCCATAACTAGTACAAATTTGGTGCCAGATGGCTACGTTAACAGGCTGAAGGTTAGCAGGAACTCAATGCAAAGATGCAAATTTCTTCTAAGTAGGGAAAGCTGATATACATGCAGCATATACAAACCAACAAATACAGTCCACATGCATGCTCTCATCATCACACTAACATACAAAACAGCAACACATCATGCAAGTTTCATGACATCATGTCACATTTTATTCTCACCACACGGTCAATAATGACAAATTACAACAACAAAAAATACAAGGGTGCAGCTAGACCACGCTATGAGGACCTGATGCACACAGACTCCAGACAGGAGTGGAAATTCAAGTTTTCATGACTCAGTAGCCTGGATGCCGGCCTTTTCAGCTTCAGCAGGGAAGCAACTGAGAGAGTGTACTGTAGCTAAAAGGTCTGATATCCAGGCTAGCTCACAATTACATGTCAGAGGACAAGTTCCATTGCTTTGCATCATGGGTTGTTTATTATTTTTCAAACATCAAATTACATGTATTTTGCAAAGCAGGAGCCTGAACACAAATGTCTGTGTGACTTATTTCCCCAGCACTGCATTTACTTTGTGCCTTGTCTTCTTTTCTCTCCATTTGTAACTAGCCTGCTGCCATTCTTAGTTAGTTTACCATGGCTGTCATACTCACTACCTTGTTTCTAAGAAATCGAGTATGGAAACTCTGTTAAACTTACAAGGATGGCATCCAGACTAACATACAACCAACTCAATACTTTAATTTCAACCTATCATTAACTGGATTATGTACAAATACCACTTTATCCTTCCTCTCTGTCTTCCCATGTACCAATCTACTGTCCCTAACAACTACCATCACCTAGGAGTCATTCTGTACATAAAAATGCGACCTTTGCTTGGTGAGAAATGCCAATGGTACATTCAATTACACACTGGGTTGGGTTCAATGTTTGGTAGAAGAAATGTCTGGGAACATAAGCTTGTCTTCTCAGCTCAGACTCCTGTATTTGGCCTTCCAAATTCCTTTATCAAAAATGAGCTCCAGCAATAAACTGTCCATAACCGTCACACCCCTATGTCCCTACACATTATGTTCCAATAACCCAACTCACTGTCAGTACATCTGTAGTACGAAGGGACGTCAGAAAGTAGGGGCATTGGTACATACATGGAGGGAGGTTGGAACATAGTAGTGTACATATTGCATTTTTAAATTCAAACTGAGAACCATAACATCTGAACGATGTCTCCTTTAGATGACCCAACCTGTAGAAAACATGCATCATATAATAACCATGCAAACTTCACATTTTCATCGAAGTAGTAAAATACTAACCGCTGTTAGCCTTCCATCTTTATTTACACCCAACTTTTCACCACCTTTCCCTCCCGCAACAGTCAAGTACAAATCCTCAACTTTTGTCTCAAAACTGTAACCATGTGAACTGATTTCTCTCTGGGGTTATCAAAATTACACATATGTCTTTGCAGGTCAAGCCATTATCCAAATGAAGGTTTGCATTACAATTTGATGCTTTGTTAGAACAGTAATGTTGACACTGGCAACTGTCAGTTCAGTCTACCACTATTTCCTGTCAGTTTACTTACATGTACAATTATCTATTGATGCATCGATACATCAGGATACCATTATCACAAAGCAATAGCTGAGACATAGCATAAAATGACATGACCACAAGGAAATTCCCATTATGCAGCAAATCTACAAGGCGATCCATGGTGCAAGTTACCCTATCAAACTGCCAATTTACATATCTATAAATAGGCACATTACCAAGTTCTTTGCTTTCTGGGAATGGTTAACAAGCTTAGAGAAGACAGCAGTCAGTGCCATTACAATGTGCCTCCATGAAGTGTCCCCCATCCTAAATTGTGCACAGTGGACTCTTCTGGGGGCAAAGAAGGTCACCCAAGCACTATCATTTTGAAGGTTTACAAGTAGAGAATAGGTAGCAACACATCAAGGTCAAGCTGTATCACAAACTCTACAGCACATAGCAAGCTACAAGGGCCACCAGTGGACAATACGCTTGCAGGGGTTTGGAAAATAAGGGACTGGGAGACATTTATCTGAAGAGAGATGTGAAACAAGTTTGCTAACATACCATATCTATGTTATACACGGCTCAAACGTAATGTATACATTAATAGTACATCTCTGTAAATACAGGCAAAAGCCATTAACCAAATCAAAATAAGACGGAATTCTATATCCCTTGTTAATGACAATGTTGTAACCTAAAATGATACTTAGGCCTTTTAAAATGACAATTATAATCATTGACAGAGCAAACTAAAACAGTGACAAAACAAAAATACAACTATCTCTGGAGAAGTCATGTATATTGTCCTTTTCGGAATGAGGCTTCACCGTAAAAGCTGTAATTGAATGCAGACTTCCTCTCTCCCAGTTTTCTTGTAGTACTGAATCAATTGCTTAAGGACTTCTCATATTAAGCTTCTTATTTCTTGTAGGCTGTGCAGATACAAGAACAGTATCTCAACCCTTTGACAGAAGTTGGCCTAAATTGTACACATTGATGTGGCTTTATCAATGTCAAAGTCATAAAACATGAATGTCACATTACAGTTAAAGCTGTACATGTTCTCTGCAAGCTATCGGGCGGACTTGCATTTTTGTTTTGTTTTGCATGGTATCCTCAAAAGGTGCTGGAGCCAATGTGCCGATGGCCGAGGTAGATCCTGGAGAGAAGACAACAACATGGAAACTATTTCAAGAAAGCAATTGTTACGTGCTTATGCCACCAATGACACTAAAAGTATTTTTCAATGAATATAGATGTTTGTAAAAATACCCACCCTTCTGATGTTAGGGAACATTGAACCTTACAAACCAAACTTACCCAATGCCAATCCCAATGCCCAGCACAGCTAGATGGCTGATGACCAGAGCCTTGAAGTACAGAGTCAGGAAGTCAGCAGCATCACTGTAGAGGATGAGGATTGATAAATTCAAGTAGCTCATGTTAGACAATAGGGGCTACTGTACTGTTGTGTCTGGTCTGGGTCCCACACAGGTCCCCTTTCCCGTTTAGTAGGGTGATATCAGTCCTATATGCTGTGTACTCGAGCTCCGTACCTAAACGTAACATCAAAACATCAAGTACAGGTAACCATACAGAGGAGTACAGGTCTGAAGAATTTCTGAAGAGATCCCTGATAGGAATGACTATAGATGAGAATATATCCACCCACCTCTTCATAGCCTTGGTGTGCCTCATGCTCAGCCGGTGCTTGGGGTGCTTCAGCTTCTTCTCCCAGTCCCTGCAGGAACCGATAGGAAAGTGCACAAACTGTAGTTACAAACAAAGAAACCACATCTTTGAAAGAAATCTGCAGTACCTTCAAACAAAACCATGAAACTACAAAAAAGTGATGAACACCATGATTAGAAATGAGTTATCAATGAATCACAATTTTTGTCCCAATTCACTTACTCAGAAAATGGGCCTCAGACACAGGCCTTTATAAGGAATATTCATTAGGCTTCTCCTTGTTTCACATACTGTACCTTAGATAGACTAAGTTACCAGCATGATGGCAGTCCTGTGAGCAGTGGCAATGCATCCTGATGGCCCTGATATTAACTCTACCTACAGCCACTCACTACAGAATATCACTATGAACAGCACTACCAGACACTAAGCTAGACTGAAACTCATAATGACGCACCTTCAGCCTCCTCAGACTGAACGAACACTGTGTCCTTTTATGGGACATTTCTTACATTTGACACCTACGAAGGCAGTCAACCATCTGACCTGTAGGATACTGTAAATTCATTTATTTTTTCAGGGGCTTAATTTTGTATTTACAAATTTTGAGATCATGATTGAAGAAATTCTGTAGTATGGTAGTAATATAAAGCAAACATTTCTTAGTAGAATGGAATGGGTTTGTAGTAAGTTTACAGTAACTGAAAGTTTACTGTAAAAAAAAAGATGAAAATAAAACCACTGTGAAGATTTACAGTACTACATGGATTGTTAGGTGACTGGATGTTGAGATATAAGGCCTGTAGAGGGGACCAACACAAATTTACAATGTGACACATGATGAAGTCCTCAGAGAAGTGCAACATTGCTGGAATGTCTTATAGCTGAAGTGGCTAATAAATAATCTGCTGGAGAACACTGTTCACTGAGAAAATTTTAGGTTGTATCCTCCAGTAACATTTCTCCGCCTGTCCAAGTTACATATTTTTCTGCCACATTAGAGAGTTTGAGAGATCTCTAGCGCAGCACCACCCAGGTATGCACAGCTTAGATATACAGGAGTGTGTTATACTTATACTGGGTATGTTGCATACTTTCCTACAACTATACCATCTCTACTTTTCAGTGGGGCTAATACATTTTTGGAATAATGTTTCTACACATTTCAGCTAAATGCTTTGGTTACTCCTTACATTCAAAGTCATGTTGGTTTACTATTAAAATTAACCCGAAAATGAGTAACAAACCGGATCAAAATTCTTCCATTAAACCCTCAAGAAAAACAGGTTCAAAGTACATGTTGCCGCTGGGTGCCATATTGACCCTGTGCTTGCTCAATAATTCTTTGTCCATAAACCTCTTGCCTTGACTGTGACCTTGGTGCTACAATCAATTTAGAGAGATGGCAAGGCTACATAAGTCTGTGTTACATAATATCTCACTGTCAGGGGCTGATTGGACCTGAACAGTAGAGGGGCTGCTAGAAGCGTGATAAAGTCAGGCTGACAGCATCTGAACAGAACATGTTGATTTATCCTTTTCTACCATGTCTACCATGCTTCCATGTTTTGAGCAAAGGAGTATTACAACTCTTCTTATAATCTGTTTACTGCTAGTGAAGTTCAAAAATCAATTGGTATTCAACAACGACCAAGTATCTAACACCAATTCAGAATAGGAATGCCTTCAAGTACAATGTACAAGAGTTATCACCCAAGCATTAAGGAGTCCAAAAATTCTCTTTTTTTAAACTACAGTGGAGTAGACCTCCCTGTCGCAAAGTATATTAGGGGCATTATCACTAGACAGCTACAAACAATGCTTGCATACTTGAAGTCTTAAACATGACAAAAGATAAAGAAAGAACCCCTGACTAAGAAGTCCTTACTTGGGTGGGTTTTGCTCGGGCCGTGATGACCAGTCCCATATCCACTCGGCAGTGTTCCGCTCCGGCAGGGGGGGCAGACTGGCACTGTTACTGCTGCCTGTCTCAGACTGCAGATGGAAGGATATCAATAATTCAAGTCTTAGATTTTCTAACAGTCAACATCAACAATTGGGTCATGGTGTTTTAAATTCAGGGTTGAAACAATTCTGTTGCACAGTAGTCATACAAGGAAGGCATATTTGGTGTGTGTTACGAATTTGCAATGGAGAGGTCATTGCAAAAACTGTGAAACTAAAACCACCATGAAAGTTTCATGATTTACAGTATCATTCTGATACTGTAAAGATGAAGATGATTTATATACCTGGGACTTCTCACTGTGTCCATTGGAGCCGTTCAGACTTCCCATTTCATGGTCACTACCATTCACTGGCAGGGGTGGGCTGTTGGGACTTCTGGGGCTGCTGTAGAGTGGCAGAATAAAGATAATTCAGATTTCACATAGTTAAGGATACACCCAACATATTCTTTGATCAATCATAAGTCCACTACACCTTATCAATATTGTATGTTACATTAAAAGGTTGAACACTAGAGCTATGGAAGTGTGTCACAAAACATAAGTGCCAAACTTCCAATGCTAACACAATGTCAGACTTTGTCAGGTGAACCTGATAAGGCTTCTAAGATCTATATTGTCTTTCTGTGGTTTGGTAAGATTTGGTAAGAAAAGCCTCACCTGGCAGTTTACCTGTTATGCAAAACAAACAAACAAACCTGCTGCCCCTGGAGCTGTTTCTGGGCGACTCATGCTGTGCTTCTATCAGCAGCTTCTCCATGTTGCCGTTGTGTGGAGACGTCAGGTTTCCGTTAGTCCCCTGCTGCTGCTGCTGTTGTTGTTGATCTCCGCTGTTAGCGTAGTGGAGCTCCACCCATGAGTCTACAGAAATACAGATATCTTCAAGTTCACACAGTTCTGCCTTCAACAAGCTTGCCTTAGGCAATCCCTTTTCCACTAGACAGCAATTGCTAAGCATCCATTTGATTCTATAATTTGTACACAATGCACAATATAGAGGTACAGATGTCCGAGAGTTTGAGCCTCAGAGTCTCTTAATCGGAAAGGCCGGGTAATTGAAAAAAATGCGCTTTTCAAATTGGCTTTTCAAATAAGCGGCTTCCACTGTACTATTTAATTTAGAAGACAACAGACAAAGAAAACTTTTTTGTTTTGTCTTTTTGGTCGCACTGTGGTCACACAGTAATCAGTCTCTAGTGAAAAGGATGGTGTTACACACTGTTGCATACATTTAAGTTTAGACTACAGGATTACATGTTCAGATATGACCAAACTTTACCTGTAGAAAAAAGAATGTACTCAATTCTCTTGAAAATGAACGAATCTCTCACTATTTACATAACTGATAAAAAATAATAAAATGGTTAAAGTCCGTTAGACTACAGACAGATAGATATTTAATTTAATAGTACAGCACTGTCAAACACTGGAAACACTCAAAACATGATAAATGGACCTAAAATGACCCAGGTTAATTGACACGGCAAACTAAAATCCATAAGGATACTTTAATGTGCTACAAAATTTGTGACAAAAATATCACTTGCAAATGCACTGTATGTCCATTAATGTGTCAGGAAATGACAATGAACTTGAAATGACCACCCACCTGCCCCAAACCAAGGTTACTGCATAACACTGAAAACTATAATCTGTGAAGAAACAAAACTTCTTCTCTCTTTAGAATCTTATTTTACCTTCATTATCGGCCCCTGACATCCTTCTGCTACCCTCCATAATGCCAACTGCAAAATTCAAATGTTTCCATTTATTTATTTCATCAGATCACAAGACAACTGGGTAGCCCCTTCAACTTACAAAAGCTGATTCTAGGAGGGCCCAGTACATACAGACACAAAACATGTTACATTCAGTGTGGTGGAGACATTTTAGGTGGAAGACAATCTGTAGGAGAAATAAAATCTATTGTCAGTTGCATCATGGACTCCGAGGTAAACTCCATGGTTGCATCAAAAGACAAACCATGATTTCAAACAACAATGTAGACTGGGTGACATCTCTAATCTGATGATTGATGGTTGTTTGACATATTGCACATGCATTACCTTTTCAGGGCCCCTGAGAATATACCAAGGGACTCATCAAACAGCTGACCTAGTTTCTTTAAGACCAGAGCACCAATGAGTTGGGAAGTATGGATCATACTAAATCTAGGTCAATGTCCTACATAACTGCCAAGGACACTGAATGACCCTGAATACATTTAGTCTACTGCCGGGATTCTTCTTGGGCCCTTGTCGTCTTTCCAGACGATCTACAGCTTCAGTCAGGATTGACGGCACAACTAAATATGGAGCATCACCTGGTTAGATACAATTTCAAGATACTGGATCATCCATAGAAACCTGCAATGATAATCAACTAGAGGGGAAGTCAACAGGAGCGGCCTCAACTGGACTGACGTCCTACCTGGCCGTAGATGCTACTCAACTCTACTCTAACCAACATCAATAGCCTTCACATGCCACAAGAATGTTGAAAATGCTTCCACATCTGCAAGCAGTGATAGTGTAAATCAAATCCTGTTTATAACTTATTACTTCAAACAGATGTGACATCTAACATGGAAGGATATATTGCTCTTTGTTTTTCTCCCTTACAAAGTCATGAGTCATGACTATTCCTTAAATTGTTTTGAACATTTCTGTCATTCTAACTTAAGCTCTAACAGTAACTAGCTCCATAGCTGGTGCTTTGTCACCCTTCCTTTTTAACATCATTAACCACTTTTTTGGACCTAAAAACTGTTTTCAATTCTTGTGTGCCATAATTGTAGGTAGAGCCTGCTAAGGAGACTTTTTTCCCCCTGAGGGCTGCTGTGTCCTGTCCAGGCTCTCTGCTGAGCAGGTTGACTCTGACTGAAGGGCGTGGCTTCAAGCTGTGAGCCATGGAAAGATCTAGAGATGCTTTCCTCAGGGAGGGTACATATATTTACACACCACAACTTAACATAAGTCAAACTTTCCCGAGGTATGGGTAAAAAGTAGACCACCTCATAAATAGTCATATTGTTATGTGCGAGGGATAATTACAGTAAATGTCTATCTCTATTTTGATATCCATGTAAATCAAAGTGCAAACCAGCATGATTGGCATTCAAGGGAAGAAGGTAGGAAGTCAGGTAAGTTTGTGGGGAATGTCTGTTTTTAAATCCGCAAAATAACAATGTAACATTCTGTATCATATTTCTTTTACAAATAGAGCAGAAATCATGAGCCTGCTTGCATGACTAATGTTTTGGGTATGACACATGACAAAAACAATTGTATTGAAAATTTATTCTGCTCTAGAACAGGATGTCAGATCAGTGAAAACAACTTCAGTGTGAAAATGTACTTTCAGGATCTCTGCTATTGCTGCCTCAAGCTTTTACAAACTAGTTATTTTCACATAGGTGTAATGAAAACAAGGGTTGCGTCATCTTCACTTATGGCACTAATAAATAGACCATTTAAGTCTCAAAGCTGGCTCACTTCCCAGTTTGTTTACATTTTGAAAGAGGCCCTTTTCGGGTATTTCCGGTGTACGACAGGCCGTCAAAATGACAACATTTAATACATATTTATCCCAAAGCCACATCGAAGATAACAACGACGACCTCTGATATTTAAAAGAGCCCCCAGGGCTACAATTATCAAGCGTCCATTTCTGTCCAAACCCTGGCCTGAACAAGATTTTAGAGCTGCTTGCTGAGAACCCGTCCAGACTTGCGTCTACAGAACTGGTGCACATCCCCACTCTGTTTACTAGCGGTTCACGAACTTAATACTCACCGTTTAAACCGCTGTTGTCTTCTGAAACCTCTCTGGATGTCTCCGCCATCGCTAATTTGGCGTCTTGACACAAAACGGACCGAAAATTGAAGAAAATCTGTCGAAAAACAGTCCCCCCTTGAATTGCTGGCAGGCAGGGCTTGTTTCCCTGCTACGTCATTCCCTGCTAATCAACATCTGACCCCGGGAATATTGACACGGCGAACGACCAATCAGCGCGCCGGAAGGTCATGTGATCAAAGTAAGCTGATGGTAATTATGTAAAACACATCTGGAGACGTCATCACCTGGCACACGTCACGTGATGTAAACAAACAACACAAGCCGTGCACGTGATGCAGTACGTACGCAGTAGGCATTGCACTGCACTATATAAGTTGGCACGAATAAATGTATAACTTACCTGGCAAAGACGGCACGTAGACCACGTCCGCCAAGCATGTGCAGTAAAGTGAGCAAGTTTTCGCCAACTGTTCCTTGGTCTGCCTGCTCTGCCTCCAAAAAATAAGTCAAACCCCTCAGTAACGTTAGGTAGAAACACCAGATAGACCCAAGGAGGATTAAAGTGAGATTATAGACTACACATATTTTACCTCCTTACATTCTGTGTCGGACACAAGTTTTGCGAATAAATTAATCAATTAGTATCATGTCTACAGGAAGGATATCATAGCCTTTACAGGTAAAAATTGAACTCTCCAAGCAGTCAGAGGTTACGTTGATGGGGGAAGATCGTTACCTTTTCTATATATGTCCCGTTTGTTTTGTTTTGTTTTGTTTTGTTTTGTTTTTTGTTAATAAATTGTTTCTTTTTTTTTTCTTTTTGTCGCTGCCCCCCACCTTGGGTCGCGCATGGACCCTGTCTGGCCAATGGATACTACTACTAATTTTTTATTACTACCTGGCCAATTTGATACTGTCTTTTTGCCACCCTAGGATCTGCTTGGAGATTAGTTTAATTGTGTATTTTACAATAGACACTCCCTCAGATAGACTCTGAGCAATAATTTATCTGGTGTCATTTTATGGGGTGTCTATGGTAAAATTTTCGGAGCCGAGAAGCGAGTCTTTCGCTGGCAACAGTCTTGTGGCACCCAGGCTGTCAGACCCAGCTACGTACGTGATTTATAACTTTAGAGCGCAGCAAAATGCTTGCTTGTAACATTTAATTTCTATCACATCACCGTGATCTCTGTAAAAGCACATAATAATGAATAGAAATTGTATGCAGACTGACTATGATAATAAAGTTACCATGTGATTGTTCTGTACAGTTATACGGACAAGAATTACATTTTTGCGTTATGCAGCGGTCGAAATAGAAAGGATACCAGAAGGTGAAAGTGCAAGATGAGGTAGTGAAATCATGTGATAGTTATGTGACGACAGAGACGTATATTGCTCTTGTCCTGATGTTTACAAGAACAATGGCGTATCAGCTTGCACCCCTGCTCACCTCGGTCCTCCTGGTGACGCTCTCGGGGGCGTACGCCGAGGATCCCGCCGCCGACCTGCGGCGGATGGCGGTCATCACCTCGCTAATACCTGCCGTGCCGCCATCGGCGAACCGTGGGGCCTGGGCAAGCTCGGAAGCTGTGAACTTCACGGCCGCCTTCCGCGCCACAGAGAACGGCACCCTCCAGCTCAGCGTGGGGATCCTGGACAACGTCACAAGAGAAGAAATGTTCTCGGAGTGGGTCGACTTGGGCTCGCCTAGCTCCAGCGTCAAGGTGGTGGTTGTTGTTAACAGTCTAATACTTCCGGCACGGAAGTTGTTTGGGGCGGCCAGGTTAACCTAGCTGGGTTGAGTAGAGTTTGTATGTTCATCCTGCATGTCCTGAGTAGGGAGAATTGGAAGTGAATGGGTGGAGATCCGGGTTCAGTTGATTGACAGGGCTGTGGCCTGGGTGGTAGGATGTCATATGGTGTCGCCAGAAATTTGTACTGTGTAGTTCCAAGAAATTTACATCAGACAAGCATATGATTATGAGTAAACATCCATGCTATGATGTAATTCAATCAGGTATTTCTCCATTGTCATACAATAGGTGTCCCAAATGCCCCAAACACTTTCTGTTTATCTCATCACACAGACCCTCCCTCATTTACGCTAATGAAACTGTTATAACTTATATCCATAAATGTAATAATGACCTACCATAGGTTCCATAATATGCCTTCTAACTATTTCCTAGGTGGTCTCTAACCCATCTGCCACCTACACCGTCAACAAGACCATCCAGGTGTTTGTGCAGTGCTCAGATGGACAGGTGTACTACCTGGAACAGATGCCCAAACATGCCGTGTACTTCGTCACCTGGTACAGCCTCCCCGGGAGCCTGCCTGTAGACAGGGCTGCATGGTTGGTGGGGAGGGATTCTGTGAGTGCACTGATGTGGAAGGGCAAGGTGGCTGTGTTTGTGAGGTCCATGCAGGTGGCATCTCACCTGTACTGGTGTACAGGTGTCGCAAGAAGGTAAGGTGTGAGTCATAAATTGATGGATGTGCATAGATTAAATCAAGGAGGTTAAATACAAGTATTTAACCTCCTTGATTAAATTAAACACAAAGAATAAGTTTATTTGTCCATTATACATTTTGTATTTGAATGCAGTCTAGTCTCAGGAAATGAGCGGGAGTGTTGTAACCTCAAATGGAAAGAAAGGTCAAATTGGAGGTGAAAATGGTCTGGGCTAGGAGGAAGTGATGGTGGAATATGCACAAAATCAGGGAGAAATTTACAATAATGAGTAAAACAGGAAATTAACAATACCTCTAATTTGCTACTTTTGTCTTCAGCTTCACTCCCTGGCAGGACTTGGGCGGAAACTTGGCCACAGATGCGACGGTTGTGTACAACCCGTTCTCAGGTTACATGGAGGCCTACGCAGTTCTGAGCGACGGAAAAGTGAACCGTAAAGACCAGGTGCACAATGACAAGTGGCAAGACTGGACTGTCTTAGGTGGAGTTTCGTCTTTTGATTCTCGATTGATTATCATGATTGATATCAAGATACAAAGTTACCCATATGATTTGTGCCAAAAGAAAAAAATTGAAAGCTTAGTCTAGTGTTGAGCACAATGTGCTGTAGCAACAAGTACAAACAGGTTTCCTAGGCAGTTTAGGTGTTTTCCAGCCAATTTGTGGTCTCACATCAGTGTTGTCTCTTACCCAGGCTTCAGCCAGCCTGACATGGTGAACACATCCCGCCCGGCTGCACATGCCATGAGTGAGACCATCTTCCATGGCATGACGGAGGTGTTTGCCCTGGGGGCTGATGGGAAGATCAAGCACATCTGGCAGACCACATGTGACAAGGTGAAGATTTATTTATTTACTTCATCAGAACACAATAGGGAAGCCCCTTCATGTTCAACTTATAATTCTGATGTACATGTACTTGCCTTATCACTTTCGTGCATGGACATTTTGGGTTGATGTGTTTGTCAGCTTGTTAGCTTGTGTGAATACAGTAGAGTCAAAGGAAGTGAGGGAGAAATGGTGTAACCACAGAATTTGACAAAAGATATCTCTAGGATTCCAGCATGTAGATCATCGGAAGGCCATTCAGCACCAAGGAAAGTTACAACTTTAAAATCTCCATGCCACAGTATGTTCACACTCTATCAAAGCCTGTGCAGAGTACTTTGGCTGGGATACATTGAATTGTCTCTCCTGCTTCCAGTTTTTCTTTGAGCACCATTTCATTGTAAGCATGTGTTACACAATTGTTTGTTGTCAGGAGCTGATTAAGCCCCATCCCCAATACCAGTGGAAGGTCTGCTAGAACCATGATTGAGTCAGGCTAATACCATCTGCCCACAGTAGTGGCAGAAGGCCATTCAGCACCAAGGAAAGATCAAGCTGTGAAACCTGTGTAAACAGCCTTTTTCATCTTTACACAGGTGGTGAACCCATGGGGGTACTGCACCTGGGGTCTGTGGGGAAACATAGCAGGTAGGTTTTTTCTTCCTTTGTCATTTTTTAAAACACCATAGATAATTTCCAGTGGTGATAAATTTATGTGGTACATGTAGCTTGTTTTATTTTTATCACATACTTAAATTGCTTCCATATATGTTTGCATAGTGACAATGGTAGAAAAGATGCATTACTGTCTGATCTGTGTTACAATCCATTGTAGGTAGTTTGTCCAACAACATACCGGCAGTGTACGGCCACGCCATGGACAGGCCACAGCCACGAGGACAGGTCAATGTGCTCGCCCCCGGACACAACGTCCACCTGGGAAATGAGGTCTTCTTTGTCGGCAAGAATGGCAGGTACTTATAACCAGCTGTGTGTTTGTAAAGGTCAAAGTTAGATCATTAGCCCAAGTTAGTTTTCACATTCCTCACAACATAAGTGTAACTTATGTTTATTAGCTCTTCAATTTCATAATAACAAGGTCTTCTTTATTGGTAAGACTGGCAGGTATTGTATTTGAAAATGTCAAAGTTAGATTGTAAGGAATGTGAAGAATTGACATGATTGTGTACATGATTGCAGAAGTACTAAGAGGCCTGGTTTGTTGATGATTATTTTTCAGCCTCTGGCACGTTTGGCAGCTCCTCCGAGATGACATTTGGAATGGACCCAACCTGATTGGCCGGCCGGATGAGGGGGAGATCGCATCTCTGCCAACCATCACGCAGGACAAGACTGGAGGCTGGTGGAAGGCATATGTCATCACTACAGAGTGGAACGTAAGCAGAACCAATTGTTACTTTGTTTGGTCATGTTGAATCTCTATTAGTAAAACAACAACGCAATGGCAATTTTATTCAACTCAACATTATCACACCTAGTTGGGCAAGATAATCACTCAATAAACCCAGCAATAAGAAATGATAAAATTTTCGAAGCCAGGACCTCTGAGTCAACAACCCTAACCACAAGACCACATTACCACTTCTGCAGGTTGGGATTGTTGCTCAGCAGAAGAACCTGTCCCTCTCCGTGGAGCGAATGGCCTCAGGCTCCAACCTGACGGTGTCCTGGCATGTTCCTGCAGACGAGGCTGCCGGGGCAGACTGGATCGGTGTCTACAGACAGGGTGACAGCGAGAACAGGAACTATCTGGACTTCAGGTGAGACAAACTCAAGGGACAAACTCAAGGTTTGGGGACTACCTAAGACTTCAAATTAGACAAACCCCAGAAGACTTCAGAAACTACCTTAAGATGAGACATACTCAAGGTTAAATGTCACTTGTATTGACGTTCATGTAGGATACACATGATGTAAATGGACTTTCAGTGAATTTATTACCAGTAAAAGACAGATGATCTGGCATACTTAGTTATTACCGATATAATGTGAAATGCATATCATCTGGCTACAATTTGTTCCCCTCTATATTGTACAAAGATATGTTCAGGGTGGCCAGAATCCGAAGCAGCCTCCAGTGCCCAAGGGCTCTGTAACCATGGCGATGTACCTTCCCGATGGTAAATACAACCTGCGCTACCTGGTCAACAGGAAGTTCTCTGATGTCATCACCACAGGTATCAAGTCAATTAATCAATCAGTCTTTGTGATATGGAAGTTATAAGACGTGTGAATGAGATAGGCATTGAAGTTACATGTATATCAAATCAAAGAGTCCACTAAGGTCAGTATGGAACAGGCCATTTTTGTCTATTAAGGGAAATGTAATGAATATGCTGTACATGTATTTGGTCTTTTAACATTAAAATGTGAAAAGCAGACTGTTTGATGTTTCCCTGTAGGTGTTGATGTTTATGGTGGACCACAGGATGAGAACTGGGTACAGCTGTATCAGGGCATGGCTATAGGGCTGGGGAAGGAAGGACTCAACATCACCCTGTGTGTCAAAGATGGAGAGGACACCGTCAAGAAGTTTGAGCAAGCCTGGGAGGCTTTCTTGCAGAGGGAGGTTAGAAATTGGTTTATAAATACATGTAATTTGAATTTTTTACACAGTCAGGAGATATTCATCTGTTATGTTTCAGTAATCTTAATTTCTCCTGTGCAAAATTTTCATGTTTTACATCGAACAAAAACATGTGTCTTAAAATGATCTGCAATATTTTTTCACTAGTTCTGGGAGGGTCTGAAGTTGCTAGGCGTGGCCCTTGACGACCTGGTGATTGCCCTGGTGCAGTGTGAGGAGACTGCCATAGGAGAGGCCCTGAGGAAGTTCGTCAAAGATCTTCTGAACTGTGCCACTGCTCAACAGTAAGTCCTACAGTCAGTTTTTGCAAATGATGAAGGCCCTGGGCTCCACTAGACCTAGACAATGAGTGCTGAGTGACCACTAGTTTTGAAATTTCTTAACTAAAAGAAATTAATATATTTTCATTCCTTTCCAGCTGCACCAGTTTTGTGGTGGATCTGGTTGAAGAAACAGAAATCTGGTTCAAAGATAGCTACGAGATTTTTGGAGACATCCGAGCAGCCTCCAACAACTTCCGCCTGCTGAAGGCTTACAAGCAGGGTGGTGTGTGTGTGGGCAGGGTGGTCAAGGCTTGTATCAACGTGGATAGCAATATCACTAAGGCTCTGGTATATTGAGTCTTAGGTTGAAACTCTGCTGAATTTAATAGTTTGAACTGTGCTGGTCAATGGTGAAAGCCCCTAACATGTAGCTATGTTAAATACATGTCCAGAACATGTTGCAGCATGTAAACTAGCTTATTGGCAACTGACCACAATTTTTTCCCCAGTATTTGTTGAATTATACTCGTTTAAATGGTTAGTCAAGACCTTGGCCATCATGTACATTAGGGCATCATGGGTTAGCTGGTTATGTTTAAATAGTATAAAGAGAGGTGTTATTATGCAATGCAATGCAATACAATGCAAACTTGTAATTTCCGTATTTTTTTATATTTATGCTATGGTGAAGAGGTGGTTTTATTTGTAATTAATTTGTTGACTGTCAGAAGGTCACCAACTTTCAAAATTGCCAGAGAGTCAAGCATATTTTTTGCCTGAAAAGCTTTTAATGATACTGGATGGGGTTCAGTGACCTACAATTGTACAATATTGACTGGTTTCTAAAGGTCAATGATTGGGAGAACATCAGCTGTACTGTTACCAAAAATGTCCTTTCAGAGTTTGCAGTCTTTGTGATACTGGCTTTAAAGTTGTTATTGTCAAACAGGCTGTACTTAAAACTTTTAGTAACTGTAACAGTAGCAGATTGTGAAAATGCCACTGTAACAAGCTAGAATTGACTGTATGTGCATAAAGTCAATGATGTTATCAGGCATTTGGACCAAATGGTAATAACCTTAATGTATGTAAAGCTGATCCTTTAGCTGGAAATGAATAGAAGGTACAATTGTCACTAAGTAATGTAAGGGATCTTCATCTGATGTTGTCAACCACTATACAACCAGCAACTTAGACATACCCCTGGTATCAAGCTCTAAGTTATGGCAAAAAAACATGAAGCCAAATAAAGCTGTAATGTTACAGTAATGTACAATCATAATGCTGCAGAATGTTAATATGTATTCAATGATTATAGCAAGTCTCAAGTAGAAACACCTTGCAACAACAATGGTACTGTGCATGTCAAACTGCATATTGTCCATGAAAATCTACGGTAAGTTAGTCAACCCTGGTTGTATGTAAAATTAAATGAAACAAAAGAAGCAGATCTGGATCATGATTTGCTCCACTAGATCCGTGCTGTTTCCTCCAATAGCGTGAAGATTATCAACCATGATAACGGTTTTGGGTGTCCGGCTTTTTGAGCTTGCACAGATCAAACTGGTAACGGCGATCCCTGTTAAAAAAAAGACAGAATATAGAGATTCATTTAATTGAACTGTTGTCCACCACAAATAAATAAAGGACCAAACACCAACCAATCGCATGTATAACGTTAAAACGTGTAATGTATCTATTATCATTTGGTGATAGTTGAAAGCCCTTTTACATGAAGCCAAAATGATCATAAGAGGGTAGAATATATGAACCCACCCCCTTTGACGCTTTATCATCATCATAGCCGTCCACGGCTATCATCATCATTGCTATAACTAGATTTACACTAAAGCTTATTGCGTCTCAGAAGCTAAGAACGCACCTCTTCCCTGCGCTGACGCCACTACGAATCCCGCGCATGTAGTAGGCAGAAGGGGAGGAGAAATCCATGACGTCATTCCACTCGTTGGCTGGGAGGCTGGTCAGGCAGTTGTACACGAGGTACGATCCCGGCGTGCAACACTTCACCTTCCATCGCCTGTCTTTTCGGTCAGCCCGGAAAGTGCTAAACCATATGAACAGGGTAGGTGAAATTAATAAAAAGTCCATTAACTCTTAGCCATTCCTGTCGAGTGGTGGGTTGTCAAAAGATTGACCTTAGTCCACCTAGGTCCACGTATACTAGTATCCAGAACTCGCACTGCCTGCAATGGGGTAACGTTCACATCTGCATTCTTGGATTCACGGAGACTACTAGAAGTAGCTACTACCATGCCAGATATCGATCTTAACCCATTCAGACATAGAACTAGATAGGAATACGGTTCTGGATACGATATGTCTCCGTTGCAAACTCTGACGAACTTATATCCAATGATCCGATCGCGCGAGAGGCCAAAGCAAGCAGCAGACCACAATGATGTGTCCGTGGGGAAGACCTCACGCGGCTCACGCTTCAATTAGTAAGAGACGCCCTCTCGGATCATCCGATAAGACGTTAAGCGGGAGTTTGAGGAGAGGAACACTTCGACCACGATAAAGATCCGGGCCATCACATTTATGCAAACAGTACTACATATGTATGTATGTGTATATGTATAGGGGCCCATCCGTGGATCAAACCTAACAGTCCTGTCTTACGCAGCCTGTCCTTTAATACTGTATAAAACTGAATGTGTTGCCCCTAAAGGCGGTATACCGGTTATGAAAACAAAACGCGGTATCCGAAAGCTGCGCAGAGTTGAAATAACAAGGCTTGGGTTTACAAGTCAGTACTATTGAGGGTGATGATGACTGGTGCATTAAGACGCTAATAACCTACCGTAACGGTAAAAGCCTCATACCTGTAAAAGCCGGTGACGAGACTGTTGAATGGACATTGGAACGAGATGAAGCCCCCGAAGTCGTTAATAAAAGGCGACCAGAAGCACTCATCCAGCAGCTTGTCTTCACCCCTGACTCCCTTACAGCGAAATGTCCAGGCGCGGTCAGACAGAGAACTACAGTAACTGCTTTTGACTGATGAGAAGATTTGTTGTTCCGCACATTCCAAGGTGAAGGGATCCCTGTGAGAGAGGCGCGCTTGTCAAATTAAGGACATATAATGGCCTCGGTCAAATATCTGACTATTGTTGGTGTACCTGATATTCGGACGCCCCTCAGTATGTTTCGACGCTTGAGTAGGCAATGGTAAATAATGTACTTAGTATTTAGTACGTCACAGTGAGCATTTTATCAGATTGCAACTGTACTTGTGGAAGCGTTTTTTTCAATATCCTCTTAAACCACAATACAAGAATCAAAACAATGACAGATCTTTTTTTCCAAACCCCTGAAGATGGAAAACCTCTTTCAGATAGTATCGAAATATAAACCAACAAACAGCATATCGAGCTAACTACTTTGCGCTCACCCGAATTTTGTCTCATCGTCAGCTGTGCTGCAGTTTTCCTTCGGGCCCGCAGTTGTCGTTAGGCCGGAGACGTCGGTGGTTGCCTCTGGGATCGATAATTCCGCGACGTGGCGGCGGGCTCGACTGCGGGGATGGTTAGAAAGAACCTCTTTCCCTTCCCTCACAAACGGGGTCACATTTGCGACGGCAAGAAGAATTAAAATGACAAACGTAACCAACATTCTGATGCAAGTTTGTCTCTTTGTTCACCTACTAATAAAGAGATTATACTCAGTATCCGACCTCGAATGTGTCAGTCGAGCGATTTTACAGTTCTTTATGGTTTCATACAATGGCCGGATATCAGCGTTTCGGTGGTTATTTTTAGGTTATTTTGAGACTGTACGTGGGGCTGTGTGTTTGAGATAACGAAAAAAAAAACTTCACCACACTTCCTTACAGTTATTTTGGTTCCAGAATTCTATGATCTACACAGAACGGGGACCTTTTTTTTTATTCCATGTCCAAAGTGACTCCAAACTAGCAAACAGTGGTATTCAATAGATATATGCCACTGAGGCATTACACCGAGAACATAAAATTTGTGTGTGTGCTTTCACATGATGATTGCTCGACAATCGTACAGGGCAATGTATGGCAACAGCATGATTAAAGAACAATTTCCATATCTTTAAACGCCGATTTTTGTCCGTCAAACATGACGGACTGTGTGCAAAGACCCAAGGACAAAGTTAGGCCAGGCAGGTTAATTTACTTCCTTGGTAACGTTATAGTCCGGTAAAGAACAGCCCTTGCCCCACGAGTAGGGGATGACGCGAGTAGAGGCGTCGGTCACCACAAGTGGTCACCACGGAAGGACTGTACCATTTCATGTGCGGGGGAGGGACAACATCTAAAATTCAATGCCGTGTCCTTTTAAATACATTTTGCCTACTCACCGCCCCACTATTACATTACAAAGCACAGACATAATTTCTTTGCCTACTTGGTTGAAGTTCCTTCACTCTTCATTAGGTAGCGCTTTAATGAGGTCCAGTGACAGAAAAGACCTACACAGGGTTTATGAGGAGAGCACTTAATACTGACAAATAAATGTATGGGGGTGGGTGTTGGTGAGCACTATATGGGACCAAGGATGGGATTTAAAATAAAATAGAAGTGTTATTGAAGCTTATCCTTCTGAAACAAAAACAAAAACTCAAACAAAAACCACATGACTGTTTATTAAGCATACAGTGTGTTGCTCAGGTTGAGTCTGACATTTTGAAAGCTAAGTTTCAAAAACTCACTACAATGCCCTAGACCTTATTATTATAATCAAACCTAACCTGATTATAACTACCCTACAGCCTACTTTATGTAAAGATCTTTGCTCTCAAAGCCCATGTATTCATATATTTTGGATCCATTCTAAGACAAGGTGGCCACTACTTGTACTAGAATAGAGGCAAAATACACTGAAAATAAAGGCTCGAGTGGGAGGGAACAAAAGACTTTCACTTTAGACTACAACTGACCTTAACACTAAACTACAACTGACCTTAACACTAGGCTACAACTAACCTTAACACTAGGCTACAACTAACCTTAACACTAGGCTACAACTAACCTTAACACTAGGCTACAACTAGACTACAACTATTCTTAACCTAAACTGCGCTTACGTTGATGAAGGTTAGACATTCGGGTAATAAGATATGCCAAAAAACAGTTTATACACAAGCAACTGGATATGATAAATCTGTCTTTCTCTTACAGTCTGTCTTTAGTGTCATTGACGAAAGTAGTGTAAGTGGATGCTACCTGAAACATCTGACTGTTTCCAAAATCATGTTTCCAAAATCATATCCAGTTGCTTGAGTAACTTTTTTGGCATAAAATGCACTTATCTTAATAGCTTATCTTAAAACAAGACAACTACAACATAATCCTAAAAAAGAACATTTACAAGTTATGAAATCCTAAAAATTAGGAAATCCTAAAAAAAACATTTACAAGTTAAGAAATCTTGGCTACTAGTATTCAAGGGACATTTCAATTTGTGAATGCATTATGCAAGAATTAGAAAAAAAACATGCCTTTGACATCTCACAGCTGGTAAGTACGAGGAATGCAGCTAAATAGCAGGCGACTATAATATTTCTATAAAACTACATGGCCCTAGCACCATGACAAATTTAGCTTCACCCAGGAAGATGGCATAGACTTAATAACATGAACATATAAAATGAACATACAACCTGAGCAACATGAACATATAGCATGAACATACAACCTGAGCAACACTTGTCTATCATACATAATGATGGTAAAATGATACATTGCATTCTTTGAAAAAGAACTTCATTTACAGACTTGACCTTTTTTTCATCCAGAGAAATGCTGCTGGCGGGGCGATGGCAGGACGTTACTGATCTGTGATGCAGCTTCAGTCCAAGCTTAGGTAACAATCCCCTCTGTCTACCCGAGGCATCACCAGCAGGTAGAATCACAATCAATTGGTTGTCAGCAAGGCATCGAGAATGTTGGCAACAGCCCTTGTGATGGAACTGGCAAGGGATTAGGACACTTTGAGAGCAATGGTTACTTCTGCACACAGTGCTTCAACCCGTTCCTGTGGCAACCAGGTCCAATGCTTGGCCTGATCAGCTTCTGTACCCACGCTGACGACCGGAATTGCGCTCAGACGTAACTACAAAGTTTAGTCCTCCAGAAAACAGTGACTTCCCCAGTTCTGTTAGCTCATGATCACTTACGCACTTCATCTACCTGTCCTCCCTTCTGGCCCTGTGCCGTAGTCTTTGTTCGGGATCTCAAGACTAACAGATACCCCAGAACCAGATGATCCACCCCTCACCCCCACCCCATTATTTCATTCACAAGGCAGCTCATGTAATGGTCAGGGTTCCCGACCCGCTGACAATCACATAATGCAGAAAGAAAGTCAGGCAGTACAAGATACCTAAATAATCATGGGCTGACAGAACTTAGGGAAGTCTCCATTTTCTAGAGGACTGAACTTAGCAGCAACTCCAAACACGATCCCAGCCACCGACATGGTCACAGAAACCAAATCAACCATACATCGGACCTGTATCCCACAGAAACAGACTAAAGCCATGCGAGCAAAAGGAGCCAAAACCCTCAAAATGCCGCAACCCCAACCAACAAAGTCACTCAGGATGTCACCAAAGCAAACTCAAGCACCTTGCCAACAACCAAGAAACTTGATTATCACTGTCGAAAATGTCTCAGATACACAGAGGGAATTCTAAGTTTGGTGCCAAAAGCTACTTAATGCACATCACAAATCACTAAACCTTTTTTTCATCCCTTACAGCCTTTTCCCATGAGAGGTGTAGTTGAAGGCAACAATAAGGTCCTGGAAGATGCTGAGAGATGTCTCCGTCCCTGCTTCTTGCATCCTAAATCCGACATGAATGTCAAATTACCAATAATTAGAACAAGACAGATTCAGTTGAACATTTTGCTTGTAATTAAAACACTAAATAGGCACGCAATCAACGATGCCTTATGCCTTGGGATTTTAATCAGTGGAACCGTAGAAAGCAAAACGCTCCGAAACCAAAGACATTTAACGGTAACAGTTACTGATCCGACTCTCACCTTTATACTGCGGATCTCCTCGTCGTAAAATCAACGTTAGGTTTGAGTCCTCAGTCCTCGAAGTGTTGCCCTGGGCTGTGGAGGTTTAGCACCTCCATTCCCTAAGTTGCAAAGAGAGAAACATTGTATCACTAGGTATTTGGGCATGTTGACTCCAATGGCAGCACGTTTGAAGGTAAAGTTACATAGTTCGCTCATTACCTATCAAATTACGGGAAGATTTCCGTGCACGTAGTTCAGAAGTAGAAAGGAAAATGATACGAAACCAAATACTTGACTGTCCGCTGAAGGTCACGTTACATACAACCGATTCCGGTGAACTACAATTGTCGACAGTCTCACCTTTACATTGCGGGTCTCCTCGCCGGAATATAACGTTATGTTTGAGCCCGCCGAAATTCAGGTAAATTCTTGTCGGTGTGGTGATGCCCTCGCGCTGTAGAAGCAGTTGAAAATCGACTGATTGAACTCAATCATCCCCGCACGCCGGCTTTATAACTTTCAACCACCTGTGCGAAGAATTCTAGCCTCCGATTGGTCGATTGAGCAGAATCCTGGCATGCTCATTGGTCAGAAAAATTCACAATTGGTCAGAAATATGATACTGGTCTCTATTAAAAGCAATTAAAACTAAATCGACTGATTGATAAATTGATTAGTTGAACTAGGGGATATCTTGCTATTTGGTTCAGGCCTTTCGCTAGGTTTCTTCAAATTTAAAATTTCTGATCCGACCTTTTGGGCTTTTTAAAGTATACTACTGACGTTTAAACTGTGAGGACGTAGATGGTCATCAGAGGCGGGTCACCAGAGGCGGTCATCAGAGGCGACGAATGGAGACTTTCCCAGGCAGATGTGCCCTAGCCTATGTAACCCAAGCTCCGGGGGGCTCCCTACATAGTCCGCCGGCTGGATGTTGGGCGGCCGGCAAAAGCGATTTAATCAGGCTAGATGTGCCCCACTGACATCCTGCCCCCTAGCGGGATTCGGACCTTTGCTATTTGCAAGTTGCTAACGTTATATTAAATCTACGCGATCTCTGACCGTGACCGTTGCTGGTCAGTGGTATACAACATTGTGAAAACCTTTTGAGCAAATCACGGACTTTCTTTATCAATTTGCGGTTTTACCTAGTACCTAAACATGCTTTGGCTTTGACGGAGTAATCAGGCAGGAGTAACAGGTCAAAGGTCGAAGTTGAAAAAGACGCGGGAAATCAAAACCAGTGACTCCTTCCAGATAGATATCTCTTCGGCAGTGTTCCCTAGTTCTATCGCCCAAACCACGATGGATCTGTGTGACTTTGAGGAGGATAACACGAAAAGTTGTGTAGTTGGATCTGAAGTTCCGGACGTGACGAAAGGAGAGCCGTGCTGTCTCGGAATCGACGAGGCAGGCAGAGGCCCCGTACTCGGTAAGTCGCCCCCCTCCCACCCTCTTCGCAGCATACAGGTACTGGTACTTTTTGTAGGTATTAAACGTCGATGGTGGTTAAACATCCAGGTAGAACATTACGCAATGAGCGTTCCATTTTAGATCTTGTCGTCTGCTGCAAAACAATATGTCAAATGTTACTACAAACAACGCAAGTTTTATTCTTAATTTGTATTTACCTGGTATTGAAGACAAATATATCTATAATTTGATTTAGGACATGTTACAGTTAGCCACTAGAAAGACGCACAAAATGCTACAAAAACATGCCTGAAACGCGGAGACATCTGCTTGGGGATAAGGTTCTGGCAGTGATTTGGCCTGGTAAATTGCTGACCGGTGACCCTAACCTGTTCATTCCTCCCCAGGACCAATGGTGTACGGCATCTGTTACTGCCCACTGTCTGGGCAGGACCGGCTCAAGGACATGGGATTCGCAGGTGGGTGCAGGGTTGGACAAGTCCTATTGCCCACTTGCCCAGGGCAAGTAAAAGCACTGTTTCGGCAAGTAAATATGCCCCTGAACTTGCCCGATTGAGCAAGTAATTTTTTTAATTTTATGAGGAATTTTTATGCTACAGTTTAGCAGTGTTTGGAGTAGACGTAGTGACTCAGTTTAGTATGATGATACAGGATATATTATCATACAAAAAGGATTATCGAGTCGCCACGGCTAATGTAAGTCTTGTACTAGTACTTGTATGTATATCTGTGTGATCAACATCTGATGTTAAAAATACTAATGTCCTAATCTCCTGACAAAGTGAATCCCATCCTGCCAGGTCTTATTTTTCAGAACTGGACTCAGAAACACCACATTTAACTCTATAGTATTCAGACCGGGGGGAGCTTTACACAAGAAAGTATCCACTAGGCAAGGCAGTACACAATACGCTATGTACTAACAGTTATATGATCTTCTCTATTGGATTGCTGCCTTGGCTACAGAAAGATATGCTTGGAGATTCCTAAACAGCTGCAATGTTTATCTCCTATCGCCAGATTCTAAAACCCTGACAGAGGAGCAGCGAGAGAAGCTGTTTGAAGCCATTGCCGGGGCAGGAGAATTCATGGGCTGGACCATCCACATCCTGGCTCCTAACGCCATCTCCAACTGCATGCTCCGCAGGTCAGGGGTCACTTGGGTTGTTGTCGACAATTGTCTAATGTTCCAACTTCATTTCTTTCCTCTCTGATTTTTTTCTTACGTAAAGAAAATCATCTGTACCTGGGGCCGCTATTTACCTGTAGAATTATTAAGTTACAGGTCTGGACCTGAACACCTGGTGTACCTGTACCTGAACAAAATAAAACACTAATGGATACCATTTTTTTACATTTAAGATAGGTAGATTGCATCTTGAATATGATAATTTTGACGATGTTAAATTCTTTTGATTCAAGGTTGAAATATGTAAACTCTGATACAAAGACAACAATTTATCAATAAAAAGACAGTTACATGTATAAATCACAGATGTTTGGCCAAGGTTTGTAGTTCTATTGTTGACTGGAAGTTGGAGGTTTACCTTGTTCTACAACTGCCTTCCAGGAGTAAGTACAACCTGAACACCCTGTCTCATGACACAGCCATCGGCCTCATCCAGAGGACTTTAGACAGCGGGGTCAATCTGCAGGAGGTGAGACTGTTACCTTATGGAGCATGCAGGTTTTTCTCTATAAACATTCTAATAAGGTGGCAAGGTGGTCTTGTGTTAGGATCTAAAGGATCTAGCATTCACATCCCTGGCAGGCCCCAGTACTAGTGTTGTGCTCTTAATAAAGGCACTTTACATCTATTTCCTCACAAGACTCAGGAAATGAGGAGTAGCTTCAGAGAAAGTGAGACTGTTACATCATGGAGCATTCAAATATCTACCACATGTAAATGTATATGTTATGCACAAAATATTAGCAGTTTGTGTCTCAGTTAAGAACATAATAACACAACTGGTGGTTCTAGTGTTTGTCCTTGATTTGTTTATACAAGCTATACAATGCAGAATGCCTGCTCATCTCCCTGCCCACTCCATTTATTTGCAGTAAAAGTCTTGAAACAAAATCGAAATTGAATTGTGATGGCCTGATCTTTCATGGTTGCCTTTCAGGTGTATGTGGACACAGTGGGTGATGCATCCAAGTACCAGGACAAGTTGAAGGGTATCTTCCCTGACCTTGACATCACAGTCACTCCCAAGGCTGATGCCAAGTTCCCTATTGTCAGTGCTGCCAGCATATGTGCCAAGGTGATGCTTATTTTTTACCTAGAGGAGAAATGTGTATGTGTGCGTGTTTGCATGCATACCCATGTGTCTTTAGATGTGTGCTTGTGTGTGTGTGTTGGTTTGTGCATTTCTGTAATTCCTAATGTGCACAATGTCTGTGGACTAGAAGGGTTTCAAAGCAGTATGGGCATTGGGTTAAAGTGTGTCTTCTTCCTTAACAGGTAGCCCGAGACAGGGCTGTGAAAGGTTGGGGGTTCTTTGAGGAGACAGAGGACAGCGCTATCAGCCGAAAGTTCGGCTCTGGGTATCCCAGTGGTGAGTATTGTTTGTTTTGCATAACTGGTGAACAGCCAAATGGCTACTCAGTGTGCTGGAGGTTAGAATATAGGTGACATCTGCTTATCAATGCAGGAGACAACTTAAAAATAAAAGATGCTTCCACAATTGGACCACTGTTAATGGAATTTTCTTTCATTCTGCATCCATTGTTTTTATTTTCTTTTATTCCCCAGATCCTGACACAAAGAAGTGGCTGGCCGGCATGGTGGATCCGGTGTTCGGTTTCCCCCAGTTTGTCCGCTTCAGCTGGTCCACTGCCAGCAAGATACTGGACGACAAGGCCGTCCCTGTCAACTGGTCAGTGAGACCTACATCATTTGTTCCTTTGTTTATTTGTCACATTTAGGGAAGAATTGACGTAACAGATGACTATCACCTTTTAAAGATGTTTAGAAAACACTAAAATTGGCCTGCTGGCCACTTATATTGATGTCATGAGGGGGTCAGGGTCAGGACAAAATGTAACAAGACATAAGAGATCCCTTTTGCTTTCTTTTCCAGGGATGATGAGGATGAGGATGAAAAGGCAGCGACCCCGTCTGTCTTGTCCTTCTTTGCTGCTAAGGGAGAGGATCCAAAGCAGAAGAAACACCAGTATTTCCAGGAACGCTTTCTTCACTCAGTAACAGACTTTGGGTCTTAATGTGATGTGAAATAAAACAAGTTGATCCACAATGTATTGTAAAAAACACACTGACAGTTGGGATATCTTAGCAATAGCCTGTATCAAGTAGACTGTAAACCGATGATGAGTGATATTTTGATTCTCATGTTTTTTGTGGATAGCATAAAGTGTTGCTACATTCAGAAATATAATTCTACAGTTTAGCTGTATATTATTGTTCTAGTTGTCTGTATCTACAAAACGTTTAAATTTCTATTTGAAAGAGAAAAGTACCTCAATGTAGCCAACTTCAAACATCGCCGAGCTATGGCCAAATTCAGAATTAGCGATCACAATTTACAAATAGAAAAAGGTAGGTACAACCAGACTCCCGTAAACGAAAGACAGTGCACAGTATGTAATAAACAACGCATCGAAGATGAAATGCACTTCTTAGTAGAATGTAGCCTATATGACGAGGAGCGTGCACTGTTTTTCAACAAAATACATATTAACTTATGGTGTAGAAATAAAGCGATAGATGCCATATTTAACTACTTAATGTCATGTAACAATCAACTCATTATAGAAGAACTCTGCCACTTCATATACATATGTTTCAAAAAGCGAGATGAATCTCTGCGGACTGGGTAGGATAGATAGAATAATAGGTATTAGATAACAGTCTTGATAGTATTGTTGTAGAATGTAGTACCTATTAGATATAGATACATATATACATATATCTTTGTAATGCATTTAGCCCTATGGGCAAGAACATGCAATAAAGATCATTGTCATTGTATCAATACAAACTCATCTGTGTGGAGATAACCCTCATACTAGTGATTTTGAAAGTATATAACGACAAACTGCATATGAGTAGTAAATAGCGTGAGCATTTTGCAAATGTTTGGCAGCACAATTAATGTGCATCTAGCATTGAGGCGAACACAAGTGCCTACAACTGACATACCATCAGGAAAAAAGCACATTATGACCCCACACACAACACACAACTCGTACAGACTGCAAAGGAGGTTGCTTTATACTCAAAACTTTCTAGACAAACATGGCGAATGTGGAGTGTTGGTTGATCATGCATTCACAGAAGAGGCGGATCTGTTGGGAGTAGACTTCCCACTCCTCCAGGTACACCCTGGTCCCATCGCGAACCGTGGGCGAGCACTGGCCCTTCCGCCGCAGGATGCTGACAGAGAACGTGCCTTGCTTGCAGGTGCCGTGTCCTGGGGAAACGCAAAGAAATGTTGAGATGTCAGACTTTGGGTTCTAGACATTTCACCATCAAGAAGATGCCCAACTCTAACACTAACCGCAACGGTAACCATAGTTATTTTTATAAGCATAACTTTAGAATATGTAATAGAATTGTTGCTGCACTGATTTGTGAGTACTTAGATTCATAGACCAATTGAGAAACATCCTGATATACAGAAAAACACTACCTCCGTGCCTGAAGCTATCCAGCTTACCATAACCTTGCACCATGAAGCATCCTCTATCGGAGCTATCGGTACTGCAGATGGCCTCGTTGATGTAGCGCGGGAAGAAGTCCTCCCCCAGGTCTGTGGTGGCGGCGCAGACCGTACACAGCCGCTTGTACCCGTCCTCCGTCACCGTCCCCCGCTCCAGGCAGTAGTCCACTTCTGTCGAGCCTGGGATCAATAATTGAAATAATGAGCCGGTTCACAGTTTAAGCTGGTAATAGTTCTTGTCTAGTCTATGCTTCCAGACGTGTTTTCTTTAGGCCTATCAGCAGAAACGGTCATCTTTTATGTCCATCTTTATGGCTCACCGGTTAGAAGACAGATGTATCTTTTGGTCATCATTCTAGACTTACGAGCGGCATGGGGGGGGATCTGGCATGGCAACGCTAAATGGTAAATCTAGGAGGGCTGGCGACGCTTATAATTAACAGTGAACCGTGCCTACATAGATTGGGCTATGGTTTAGTACAATGTATTAGACAATGTATCCAAGAACGCAGATCTTGTCCGAGACACTGTTTACGACCATCCAGAGCATGATTCTGTAGCTTGATAAAGCACGCGCGGTTCTGGATACAACAGTACCTGTGTCGCGTATGATCCTTCGGGAGATGTTCAGGACTTCGGGAAGAACGACACCCCTAGCGAGGCTCTCCGGTACGACATAACGTGTGTTGATCTCGTCTATCTTCACCTGACGGCTGGAGACGGGAAAGGCGAGAAGCTGGAAACGAAGGGTAAAAAGACATGATACTCCCTATCATCATTCCACGTGGATGTTTCAGACCACGAGAAATTCAGAGTCTTATCACTTTCGTCGCGAACGGAGTCATGCATGTCTCGTACAAGATTCAGGTCGGAGACTGCCTATTCTGCTTTAAAAATCTGACATAAAAATCATACAACAAATGTGACTGCGTCGTTTCTTGGTACATAAAATGTGGTATGAATCCGACTGGGGGATTTGAAGTTCCCGTATTTCTAATGGCTGTAGTAATTGTATTTACCTGCGCAAGGCCTTGGGACAAGGACGCCGGCCTGGGTTCCTGTAAGTCTAAGTCGATGAACAGCTGCTTCTTGATCTGCTCCTTCAGCACGACATTGGCCAGGTCGATATCCACATGGCGCGACGTCTCGGACGGGTCCTGTCAGTTAACGTTAAACGTGCCGTGAGTCACAAGTGTGTACAGTTGACATTAGATTATTCACTCTTTCTCCTCCCTCAACCCCATAGGTCTCAGACAGAGCGATGACGTTAGGGAAAGACGAACGAAGTTGTGAAACTGTCCCTTACCCCGTAGGTCTCAGACAGAGCGATGACGTTAGGGAACTTCCTGGCGTCCTCCCGTGACACGGCCATGTACCGCCGGTTGAACTCTCCCCGCTCCCGCAGGATGTTGAACAGTTCTTTGGAGGACCGAGTGTAGCAGCTGTGCGACGGGTACGAACAACATATATATTAATAGGAGATAGGTGGGTTTTTTAGACACATTGGGGTAAAAGGTTCTTAAACGTAAAGACGTTGTTTGCCCAGACCAAGGAGATTTGTTGACTATAACCTTCTTGATGATTCTAGATCACTTTCTTTTACTTCTGTAGAACGAACTCTCACCGTGTACGTAAGATCTCCGCCTGTGCCTCCTCTGCGATGTCCTTGATGGGGATGCCCACGTCCTGTCCGTCTCCGGTCTTCGCGCTCAGCCGCGGGACTCCTGCTACACCAGGCGGGGGAACTGCCATCATGAACCGCTGAGGCCCCAACAGTCCCTCGGGATAGCCCTCCGGCTGGTCTGAAACAGGCTACAGGGGCGACGGAAAACATGAAACGGCCACGTCTGGGTTATCAACTCAGGATTGAGGTGTTTGAAAATTCGTTTTTTTTTTTTGCTAGATAGTTTTAATCAACAAAGCTAAATGTGCAAATGTTATGTGTAACACGTCATTCAGTGTAATATCATGTAACCAGCTGCTGAAGGAAAAATATCCTTTACCTCCACTGGTCTGATGTTTCTTGTTGCCAAAATCTCGTCGATGTCGACCTGGCTGACCGTTTCAGACGCTGTATAAAAAATTATAAATACTTCAAATAGTTTTAATCAAATAGCATGTGAATCGTTTTCAAATTAAGAAATCAATGATCTAATTTCCGCCGTTCAATGGCTACTCAGCAATTCGCGTCTAGTGGAAAGCGGGCCTTTTTGCCACACCCACCTGACAGGTGTGTTCTGTTCAGCGGTGCTGCTGGCGGCGGATGTGTGGTGACGTCACCGGTAACATTTGCACTTGTCGTAGCTGCTGCTGCTTGCAGTGACCCGGCACCTGGCTCGGCCTGTCGTCTGAATCTGGGGACCAATTTCCTCAGATAGGTCGTTCTCGGGAGTAAATGTATGACTGATTTTCTTGAGGGTGCGCCCTCTACCGCACATAGACAGTATAGTAGCATCATGGTTACGGTAGAACTTGCTACCTGGGATGAGGAAGCATAGAAGATCTTTGTGTATTTTTGAGTCTGAAAAATAATCACATAAACACAAAACTGCCAAACTAGGCCTTGCTGTGCTTAAAATAATCAACAGAAAACTACCTGTCTGCGTACACTTTCAGGATGAACGAGTACCCTGCAAGCAATTTACCATTTCTACCATTTCTTTACACTAAAAAGAAGAGTGAGTAGCGTGCGTGGCCCCAACTTGTGCGCAAAATATTTGACCGAATACCAGATTGTTTATGGACAAAGTAGGGGGCTGTGGTGGTTGTGGGGGCCTAACATACGTACATTCTTTGAATGAAAACATTGTAAAGGAATTCCTTTACAATTAGATTTCATCAAATCACTCTCCTGGACTGGTGGTTTGTCCTCTAACGGCTTTGCGTAAGTTCCTAAGTCTTGAATCCTAACTTTGACCGTTATGACACGTCAGCAAGTCTGACCCAGGTTCCACCTAATCTCTCTTGCGTAGTATGTTAGAACAGTGTGGTACGTGACGTAGTCCTGTTGTATGTACAGGTGTAACGCTACGTGTTCATGACCGATGACGAGGTGTTCCTTGGTACGAGGTACGTAATATGGGAGTGGTAGATGACATGGTTGCACCCCTATGTTTCAACACTTCTATGATTCGACAACCAATATCCTGACACTAACCCTAGTAATGACCTCCGTTGCTTGCAGTCCTTGTATAATACTGAGTAATACTGAGTAATACTGCTAATACTGAAATCAAGACATGCTATGCAACAGTCGCCACACCTAACCCTATCCATGTGTCAGAGTGAAGGGCTGTCCCCAGATCAAAACCCATAGTCTATATTGGACCAAAGCTTTTGTTTGGAAGTTTTAAAACAACACACGTAAATTTGGACAAATGTGTGGTTTCAACACGGTGAAATAGTTGGTCCTGGGATGTCCATCGCCCACGTTACAAATCCCAAGTGGAATGTGTGCAAAATATTTGCAGTGTTTGCATGTCATGAATATAAAGTGATCGCTTAAAACGCGAACGATAATGGACCCTTCATACAGATAAACGACGCGCAAACAGTAACGTTATATGTTTGGCCGGTTCTGTGCCAACATTTCTCAAGTGCAGTTGCCACTGTAATCTTACGGCAGGCCCAACATAGCATTCACATTGCCTTCCTCACGGCGCGGTCATTTGTCGTAGGTCGTCATACGACTTTGATGCCATGGGCTATCCAAACAAACTGTTCATTTGCCAAGGCATGACAATGATCTAAGATATCTAAGATAGCCTTTTCCGTAACAAATTTACAAACACCTGAATTTGTACGACACATACCGCCAATGAATACTCTTGGTTTGTAACCGTACGACTACGGGGTTATGGAATTCTGCACAAACTTGGTGAATAATTGGCCAAGTGATTGATCCACGGTAAGGGTAACATTGATATTCCCCCAAATCCAGGGTAGTTAGCCTGATAGAGACTAAACACTAGTGACTTGTCCATACCGCTTCCGGATTGATTTGTGGGAGATGCTGTCAAAACTCTCTATTATATGTGTCAACCACAACCCTGCCTTGTACCAACAAAGGGCAGTCTTCGAAACCTGTTCAACCACTGGATGACAATCGATGAGCGACCAAAATTGAGTTTATGATTGGAATTTCGTTGCACATTGAAAAGTATGATTGAGTGTATTCGGCCAAGGGGCGGTTATATCGGTTATACAGATACAGAAAGACAATAAAACACAGAACGTTGTGGCTCAGCGGTCGCTCAGCAGTCGCAGCCTACAGTAGTACTAGTAGGAGGAATAAATGGAACTAGGAGCACCAAATATCACGAAGCCCTACCATTTACACCCCCATCTCACTAGAGGCTGCGAAGATTTGACAGATCGTTCAACGAAATTCGTAGATAAAGAACTAATTATACGTTTTGTGTGTTTTTATTGTATTTAAATCATATCTTTTGATCTTGTGCCATATTCCAATCATGAAATCACACGAATCCAAATGTGGTCGCCGGGGCCAAAGGGGGTCACACCAAAGTCCAAACTCGTAGACTTAATCATCAGATCATAAAATAAAATCACGCCTCCGCGGACCACTAAAGAACACTATGTCAGCCTCAAATGAACAGACAGAAAAGAAGGCGAAGAAACGACTGCCAATGAGTCACTGGGGGAGAATATTCATGCAGGTCCATCTAGCCATTGACCCAGAAACAAACACAACTGAACTTGTTTTAATATAGATGACTTGTGTAAAAGTTTACGAACCTACGTTTACAACATATACTACAATGTGGTCTACCATTCTTTGTCTTACCTTCCACTCCATGTTTTCTCGTCGTTTGGTTCCCAGATTGTGAAACAGACTTTGTTGAAGAAGTGATTTGATGTCGTCCTCTCGATATTATTCCTGTTGGCTGTCCGCGATGTTTGCCTTGCCCCGCTCCTTTTGTACTGTCGTGAGTTCCTGCGTGCCGGGATGAAAGGCTGGGATCTACAGCTGCACTTCCTGACGGACAGCAAACTGCTGAGGGTTTGCATGCGTCTTTCCACGAGGCGTAGCGAGTTATTTTAATTCACCGTTAATCTTAACTGATACACTTGAATGATTCGTGAATCGTAATTGGCCGCTTTAATTCTTCGCTGCACGTCATTTTTATCCTAAATTCATCGTTATTGACAAAAATGTTCGTATCACAAAGTCAATCACATTTTGCAATAATAAATTAGGCCTTTCTACATTTACGAGTTGCCACTCCCCCATGCAGACCCTCACTGTCGAGATGGACTCTTTACCGAGGCGTTAACGTTTACACTTTCCTTGCGTTGGTTGAGGAGTTTAGTGACGCGAATCAGACCTGAACTACGTCCGACTTAATCCGTCCCGCCCTTAGCTCAGCTGACGGATACTTCCCGTCTCAAGACAGCCAGGCAGTTTATAAGACGGTTTGGATTGATTAGATCTGCCAAACAGGCACGGTGCTACATTCTGTAATGCACGTATCAATATGCGCCAGAGAGAGGGCGACTAGGGCTTGGGCATTCGGTAATCCAATATACGATTGAAAACTTGCATGAGGTCATTCTTGGAATAGTCGTCCCTGGGTCCTGCACGGAAACGGCTGTCTTGTCGGCGGTTGGTTCTGTCCCGACTGCCCAATGAATATCGTACTACATCATTGGATCGTACCGTACGGCGACTACGGAAAATGTGACGCGTTGTAACAAGACGTTTAAGTATTTGATAGATCTGCTTTAAACTTGTTTTTAGACCCATATTGTACACAGCCCTGTATAGGAGTAATATTGATAACTGCATGCAAATACTACAGTATATAGACTTATTAAATGGACCATTCAGCTATTGAAAGGGCCCTAAACGTTCACTTTTCAACTTTTCCCGAACACTGATACACACATCACACACCATGTGGGAGACCAAACCCCGTAACCCCCATTAGTAAGTGGATCATTTGCGTGAATGGACGTGTTATTCCATGGGCGATAGGCCACCGAGTTTTTGTTGACATCGCTGTTGATTTGTTTTATGAACACTCGTATACTGTGCACTCCGTACAAGATTCCCGATAATCATACACTGCGTGAACACAAACACTATGAACACGGTCCGTTGAAAGGATCCGAAGAGTCATACACTCATTACATAACACCGTGAACTCGGTCCGTTGAAAAATTTCCTTAGAATTCTCCGTACAATGAACCATACATATATAATACATACTGCTGGGTACTTGGTCCGCTGAATCATACAATAAAAAGCACACTCATTACTCAGCTGTTACATCGGCGTTCATGGTTAGGAGATTAGATAGCGCAAAGGCCGACGGGAATAGAACAGGTTTCGCAAACTCGAATGCGTTCGCAAAACCGCTGCTCGACTCGATAGAACCCCAAGCCGGGGCTAGCGCTAGCGGTGATAACTTCAAAAAGATGACAGGGTAGGAAACACCTACCCGTGAACTGCGTTACCAACTGGGGTGGCAGCAAAAATGTGACTTAGAATCACGTTCGGTGTGAAGTCCCTGCCTCCCCAGACTCAGAAAACAACGATATAGTACATTTTAGAGATATTGGGCACAACTACACTTTCCAAATCTCATGCCTGGGAAACATATGTAGAACTGAAAACATGTCGGTGGGGTTTGTGGACGTGTTTAGAGTACATTTACACATAGCATGTCAAGACTCTTGTCGGGTGATGTAGCCAGTTGTGTGCGTTTACATTTTAGAACCGCGCGGGAAATGTGGGCCTATCGTGCGTCTGATTGGCTAGCGATGATGTCATTGACCTGTACAGCAGCGACCTGGTAACGCAGTTCGCCGGAAATTGGACTTTACAAAATGCTTCATATCTTCTTTAAAATATGGTATCATACCACCAAAAAAGTTTACATGGCTACTTAGTTACCCCTTGAGTATAAATAGTATCAAGACTTTTTGTTTTCCTTGTGGCATTTCGCAGAAAATAGGGTCTTTTGAAATGGCATTTCGCACCTAGTGTATACTAGTACTAAGTACCTAACCAAGCTGAAGCGTTCGGAAGTCGCTGTTCGGCTCTCGGCAATCTTCGGGAGACTTCGGCATCTGTTCGTATGGTTCTTTGGAATCCTCATCAGTTTGTGACCGTGTTCAGTGTACGTATGATTCTCAGGAATCTTTCAACGGGCCGTGTTCACAGTGTTATGTGTTATGTGACTGTATGATTCTCGGGAATATTTCAACGGACCACTGTATTGTGATGACAACGGACTGAATGAGTAGACACAGTGTATGTTCTAACATACGCGAAACAATAATAAGGATTTTAATGGTTTACAAAACAATGTATTGTTAGATCTCAACAAAAACTCGATGGCCTAGCGCCTGTGGTTATTCCGTGTAATTCCCTGCTATTCATTCCCTTGCCATGGCGCATTGGTTACGGACGAACCCCGGGCACGTCGGGCGGGGACACTGACAGGAAGTTAAAGCTTAAGCAAGGAGTTTTGTCTAGCCTCTACCAGGCTTAGGGGGGCGGCTGGAAAGAGTAGAAATCGGCCAAATAGAGAGATAACATGCCAGGGGAGTTTGCTGGCACCCGGTGCGGCAAAATGTTCTCTCCCAGCAAACAAACTCCCCCGGCACGTTATCTCTCTATTTGGCCGATTTCTACTCTTTCCAGCCGCCCCCTAAGCCTGGTAGAGGCTAAGTTTAGTCTAAGGTCCCAGAAAAGGTTACTAGTATCTCATTTCCTGTCTTCGATTTCACGCAATATGCATGTCTGTTGCCTAATGAGCACCAGTAGTGGGGAAATGCACTGACAAAATCAGCGAGAAATTCTCAATAATGGCTTAAAAAACAGAAATTCACGAAAACTCATGGAGGTATGAGATCTTGTATTTGTTGTTTCGTTTGTCACTAGGCTGTCGTGACGTCACCGTCAGACGACATTTACAGCAAGTTTCTCCTTGACCAAGGTGTCGTCATGGCGACGGCTTATCCGCCGGCGGGAGAAAAATGAATAGGCGATGAAAACCTCTCCGGTGTGGATGTTTGCTGCTGCTGTACACAAGGACGCTTTTGTGCACGGAGCTGATACTGATCACAATACATCACAGTCTCTCCTTTTTTACTAGGTTACGTTTATATGTTGCTTTAGAAAAGAAAAGAAAAGAAAAGAAGAGAAGAGAAAAAAGAAAAGAAAAGAGGGCATTTAAACTGTAGATTTAGGTTAACGTTTATAATCATATAATGAAATAGTATAATCAAGGACATTATACACAAATGTCCTTGGTATAATATATGCGTTTCTTTGATTCTGGTAACTCTTGTAACTTGTACTCTTATGGGCATGGACGTGTAATAAAGATCATTGGCATTGTCAATAGGCGTTGTTTGCCGTATTGTTTGTTGTTAAGAAAACTGGTGTGATCATGAATTGAACACAAAGCCCTCACTCCGAGAAAAGAATGCCAACGATTTTCCTTCACCTATATGATCCTATATGTCTATAACTTTTTGCGTCGGAATGATTTGTTTTGGAGCGCTCCTAGCGGCTCAGACTAGAAACACAGAATGGCATTCGCATCAATACTAATTTCTCATTCGGTTATTTTAAATCTTGACTCATTATACATACTGTCATTCATTCTTGACTAATAATGCGTACAATCAGTTTGATTAAGAAACTTAGAAGTCGTAAAACAAATCGCAAAACACTGACGTGTTACACCCCTATGATTTGTAGTGGTTCCTTCCGTTCCGAAAATGGCGGGTGCTGGAGGTGGTATGTTGGGTTCCTGCTCGTGTAAGATCGGCCCGTCCATCCTCAACGCCGACCTGTCCAACCTGGCGTCCGAGGCGCGCCGTCTCATGGACTGTGGGGCCGACTACCTGCACCTGGATGTCATGGACGGGTGAGAACTGCCCAAATATCGCAGCTAAAATTATGTGACACACGTGCATCAGGTGGGGAGGGGGGCGCAAAGTTTAGTTTAGCAACATTGTTTTTGTCTTCAAATTTCTACCCCATCATAGTATTCCCAGAAAGGTAGAAACATGTGTGAAACAAACGTGTCAATCGTAATGGCTTAGGTATGTAATTTTACAACACTAGTTCGCATCTAAGTTCTTGGAAGGCCCTAGAAAACCAATAAGTTTCTGCCCCCCTCCCCACATGTTTTTCTACTGGTATCCTTGTAACTTTTATGTCCTTGTATATGCGTATAAACAATAGAAAGCAAACAACAAATGATTATGTATATGATCTGTACTGATACCAATACAGAAGAGCACAAATATAGCATTGTTGCCTTTTTCTCTGTTTCAGACATTTTGTACCCAACATGACATTTGGACACCCAGTGGTCAAGTCCCTGAGGCAGCACTCAGATGCCTTCTTTGGTGGGTAACTGTACTGGACTGGGTCAGTTTATAATTTACACCTCAAAATGCAATTAATGCCAAATATTATTACAAACGGGTGTGGAGTAATTACCAGATTTATATGTTGTCCTGAAATACTTCATCCCAGGGGAATGGAGAATACTAGTAATTGTTTTGGCATGTTTGGACAATATGTTTGTGTGTTTGTTTCCTTGTGTGCATGCATTTGCATCTCAACTCTGCAGTATTTCTTACCTATTTTGCTCTCTTCCCAGATATGCACATGATGGTGGCTGGGCCAGAACAGGTGAGACATATTATTATAACCTGAAGTCTTTGGGGCCATTTGGGCCAACCTAATCACTTAGTTCTCACCTGTCTAGCATTAATTATGGTTGAATGTTAGCAGGAACTGTTGTATTTTAATGTCTCTTGTGGGATATGTCCGAATCTAAGTGGTGAGTCATCTGTGTTTTATATCTTGTAGTGGATTGAAGGAATGAGAGACGCTGGAGCAAACCTGTTCACGTTCCATGTGGAGGCTACAGACGACGTGAAGGGCTGTATCAGGAAAGTGAAGGAGGCAGGCATGCAGGTCACAACTCCTTCTGTCCAACCACAAATAAATGAAAGGAAGCTGATTTAAGAATACTTAAGACTCAGTGAAATTTACAGTTGAAATTTTCAGTGCTGTTACATCCGATAGGTTAATGAAAATATTTGAATACATGAGTCAAAGTGGGTGTGTTTTCATATTTTTTAAAGTGAGAACTCGTGCCAGGTATATGTCCTCTGTCTTCCATTATGTTATTACAATAATAATAAAATGTTTTAACTGTGATCTAAAACCACCTTTCCCCTCCTGCCAAAACTTAAATCAGTTTACAGTATGATACAAGAACTAAAGGTCTAAATGTAAAGTAAAACTAAATGTAAAGTTAAACATAATCTTTGTAACATTGACAGAGGTGGTTGGAGCTATGGGATCTGTGTAAAATACAGAGATACGAAATATTAACGTGTAACTGTAAATGTAAATATTTGATGTACATGCAGCCACTCTCTCATTGGTTGAACTGCCAACTGCAATGCTATGTTCAGCTGAATTGTGTTGGATAGTCTGTTTGGCCTCCTCCATGCAGGTTGGTATTGGCCTGAAACCCAAGACACCTGTGGACGTGGTGTTCCCCTATGTGGAGGATGTGGACATGGTGCTGGTGATGACTGTGGAGCCGGGCTTCGGGGGTCAGAAGTTCATGGCTGACATGATGCCAAAGGTCAGTCATGGCAGGAACTCTGGTGGGAGATCTGCTTACTGCAAACTGACCTTTAAGTCAAGTTGTCAGGCTGAGAGGAAGTGAGTTAGTTCTCAGTTCTGTGTGGGTGGACTCGCTTCCTCCCACCTGCCAACTTGACCTTGAGGTCAATTTGCAGTAACCAGACTTCCTGCTGCAATAATGCATTCAAATACCTATGAACACAAGCAAATGTGTACACACATACACACCCACCCACCCACACATGCAGACAAACTCACCCAGAACAATACCTCCGAACATAGGTTTAAAAATGCCTCAAACACATCATCTATACAAGTGACATCACAGAATGTACCTCAGCAGCATGTGTAGTGATGTGAATGCGGAGTGTCACAAATTAAGTAAATAGAAACCTATGAATACCGTGACCTCACTCCTAGGCATGAAGGAGTTTTACAGATAGTCACTTTGGAAGATGACAAATCTCTCTGTCTTTTCTCCCCACCCCAGGTTCAGGCCCTGCGTGCCAAGTACAAGTCGTTGGACATCGAGGTGGATGGAGGAGTAGGACCCAGTACCATCGACCTTGCAGCAGAGGTGAGAGCAGCAGTTCTGTCAGACAGGAATTTTGGTGGAACCCAAATGTTTTCTATAAGTGTGATGAGATTTTTTAAGTTTGATGTCCTCGAGGTGTGGTTCTCTTTCAACCTTTGCTATAACGGTGAGTAAAGCTTGGGACTTGTTTTAATCAGAGTCAAATGATGAAATAGGTGTAGAGTGCCTTTCCCAAGGGCACAGTATTGAGGCCTGCTAGGGATTCAAACCCAGAATTTTAGATTTTAAGACAACAACCCTAACCACAAGCACACATTGTGAACCCGTGTTGTGTATCTATATTCAGGCTGGTGCCAACATGATTGTGTCTGGGACAGCAGTTGTTAGGAGCGACAACCCGCGTGAGGTCATCGGCCAACTCCGAGGCAAGGTGGACGAGGCAATACAGAAGGCCAACCTGGAGAGATGATGACATCACACTCTAGGTGGGGAGGGGGGTGAACAGGAGAAAACTAAAGTAGACAAAACAGTTACTACTTTGGGCCATACCAATTTATTTGCTTGGCCCACCTCGGACAGTTTAACTGAAATCAGAGCACTTCGTGGAAAACTTGCATCTGGCTAGCCTATAGCTACCTGTAGTGTGTAGACCAAATGACACTGCATTAAAAATTTCATTTACAATAAAACTGTAATGATGTGCAAAAATATATTTTACAGACTGTTGTAGAGAAAAAATACTGATTCCCATATTTTTAAAATATAGGTCACTCTTCTATATCTATTGTTGACGCTCATCCCTCCCCAGTTGCTAGGTAATGGCATGGTCACATTCATTGTAGGCTGTCCTACAATTTTAATGTAGAAATTTTCAAGCAGACTGCCCTCGGTTTGTGATCATTTGATGATCGCACAAAGTGTGTGACTGTGCCCTAAGAGGTAAGAGTCAAGCAATGTGGTCACATTCCTAGTAGACGGATGTTTTTGACAGAGAATTTTCAACAATGCAATGACTCGCCATCAACCATCAACAAGATCAAACTAAAGCAGCGTTTTTTCAGTCGGATTCTATATATCCCATGATCCATGATTGTCCGCAAAATGCCCTCTGACAGTTTTCTGTTGTAAACCTATCGTAGAGTGAGTATGACAAACTCTTACCCCTTATAAGATGATGACTTAACCTAGCAAACACAATATAACTGTAAACCCTTTGTACGACACATATGTCGGCATTGTACGTAGTCAAGTTGTTTGTTTGTGCCTCCAGGCCAAGAACCAGGGCACAACATGTACAAACAATACATTACGTGAGAAATACGTGCTGCAAATGTTGACACTGCAATTATGGTGGCAGCCTACTGTAAATTACCATGTGTGCTCTGTGGCACCTGCTTAACTCTGATGTTCAAAACATGAGATGGATATCTTGTTTTCACTTCAAACTGTTGACAGTGGGAAGGTTACACTAGGAAAAGCCATGGCTCAACAAATCTTGCGATTCTCAGCAAAGCAAAAGAGAGGACTTTTATATATTATGATTATATATTCTTAATGTATCTTATGGAATATTCAGCTATATTTTGAATTATGCATTGGTAAGTTTTCACTATCAAACTTTTCAAAGCAGTCTGCTTATGCACACAATATAAGACAGGTAAAACATAGCCTGTTCTCTGTGTCATGATCGCTCATCAGTTGGAACCAGATTAATAATACGAGGGGTGTTCAAAAAGTTCTCGGCCTCACCTAGAAAATAAAGGTCAAACTCCTATTCTTTGGTATGGCTGTATACTATTACGTCTTACATCACTGCACACCAAAATTCAAATTTTTATATTCATTAATGAGCACGTGACGCCCCGTCAAAATGGGGTGGGTGAGGGCAAATCACAAAATGGCCGCAAAAGAAGCGTGTGCTGTGGTCAAGTGTATCGATAAAAAAGGATGTCTCCTAAGGACTTCCATGAAGACATGGTCAAGACACTTGGTGATGACTCCCCTTCTTATTCAAATATAAAGAATGGGGTTACTAGCAAACAAGCGCGGCAAGGAGAGCACAAAAGACGAACATATGTGAGGATGCCACAAATCAGCACCACGGACAATCCAGTTGAGGCCATCCATCACATGATAGTGAATGACAGATGTGAGACTGGCCAACATGTAGCAGGTTCTTTGGCCTGTGTTATGACTCTGTTCACAATATTTTGTCGAACATCCTGGGGATGAACAAACTGTCTGCATGGTGGGTGCCTCGAATGTTTTCTGAACATCAGCAGTTAAACAGGCTTGACATTTCAAGGAACGAATTCAGTCCAAACCATGCAATTTCCTCAAAACGCTTTTCACCCAAGATGAGCTGGGTTCACCACTTTCACCCCGAATCAAAACAACAGAGCAAACAATGGATGAAGAATTTTATCCGGCCCCCCAAGAAGTTTTAGCGAGTTTCGTCCTATAACAGGAATTTTCCTCTGTTTTCTGGGACAGTAAGGAAGTAATCATGGTTGACTACATGTGAAGGGGTTAAAGCATCAATGGGGAGTACTATTCAACAGAATTACGACATTTGAGGGCGACGATCAAAGAGAAAAGGACAGGAAAGCTCCGAGCTGGCGTGCTGACAATACACCTGTCCACACAGCACAGGGGTCAGCGACAGCAGCAAACGAATTTGGGTTTGCAGTCTAACCCCACCCTTCCAATTCACCTGACCTAGCACCCTTGGACTTCTACCTGTTTCCTAAACTCAAGTTCCACTTACGTGGTCAACATTTTGATGGTAATGATGACGTCATCTATGCGGTATAGGCTTATCTGGGGGCTCCAGATGCAACCTTCTTCCACAAGGGGAAAATAAAGCTGGAACATCACAGGACCAAGTGCATTGCAGTTAAAGAGGCCTATATTAACAAATAGTGTGAGAAAAAATTTACTGCCCTGACGTTTTCTAGGTGGGGCCGAGAACTTTTTGAACACCCCTCGTAATATCTCACTGTATCACCTTAACACTACATCATTGTGTAAGAAGTAATCTGAATAATTGAAACTTACGTATTACTTGAGGGACTAAGTCCTTCGGACATTTTCACTTGCGGCATCAGAAAGCACGAGTCTTTTTTCTCAGTTTAAATATGCACTGCAAACAGTCTTAAAGGAGTCATACTATCATGTCTGCTCTGGGTTCAAGTCTTCTGTGTCATTGCTTTCCTTTCCGAAGGTACCGACACGTCTTTAACTCTTCAAAACTATCCCTCATGCCTCCCGACTCGCTTGGTTTGACGGAAAAGTCTCTCTTGACCAGCGGCGTCCCTTGCTGACTGAGGTATAGCGGCATCATCCTGGTGAATGTAGCTGTTCGCGAGTCCTCTTCGTCGTCTGATGAATCGCTGGCGTACACGTCGGCCGGCCGGATCCGCCGGCACTTCCAGCGGCTCGAGCCCGTGCTGCGCATATAGGACGGCGGCGCCTGGCTTTTCCGGACGACTTTCGGCGACGTCGCATCAATGTGATCGTCTTTCTGTTCGGCGTCATCTGCACGTGGAGAGTCTTGAGGTTTGAGAGACGGTATGAGTCTGTGGGGAGGGGCTGTGTTGACTCTTCTGAGCAGACGCGGAGA